CCCAGTTCTATCTGCACATTCTTGCCATCCTCCCTGGCTCCTGCTGTGTGCCTAGTCCGCAGTGCAGGTGTGTGAGGACACATGGTGATGCCCTGCCCAGGCACACACCCGGAGAAGGAAGCCCCTTTGTGGCCTTGCAGCCCCACTGGAGTGCTGGCCACCTCCATGCTCCCCACCCCAACTCCCATGTGTCAGCCTGGGCTCGGCTCTGCAGAGACCTGGTTCCCATGCCTTCCAGGTGTGGACACTGCACACTCCAGTCCTCACCCTTCCGAGTGGCTCACCTGTGTCCCTGAAGGCTGCTTCCTTTTGCCTGGCAACTGTGAACAGGTCTGGGTGGGTCAACCAACATGTGAGTTGGAACCACACCTTCCCTGATGAGGTCTGAATCCTAGCTTTGGGGAAGGGTCACCTTCATAAGTTTGTTCTTGCTTGGAGCCCTCACTTCAGAGGTACCTCTAGAGTTTTCTTTGAACCTTTGTAATTACTCTCCTTTTATAGCACAATGATTATTTATATTAAACTTCCTCTGATAAAATGTGGTTTCTATCTCCTGATTGGCCCAGACTGATACATAAGGAGCCCAGAGCAAAGGAGTGGCTCTGCACCCACTAAAGATATTGCTATTTAGTAGAATGTAGTCCATTTATCTGTATTTGGCAATAAAGCAAGTTGCCATAGGGGGCACCCGGATTTGAACCAGGGACCTGTTGATCTGTAGTCAAATGCTCTACCCCTGAGCTACACCCCCTTGCATAGTAAGAAGTCCTCCTTACCTTACTTCACCTGTGTAACCCAAACATTCCATAGTGTACAGTAAGTTCTACTCATTCCTGGTTGGCTGATGAAACTGGCAGACTCATCACAGACTGACTGGAGATCCCTCTCTGGCCATGAGTTCACCTTTCCATTCCCCCGAGAAACCCTCCCTTTTCTCATAGACGTGTTTTCACTCTAGCTCCTGTGGGGCAGCACCAGGTTTGAGATCCTGAGTTCCCAGATTCTGCCTTCCTTCCCTCCTCCCTCAGCTCTGCCCCATCCTCCCAGCCTCTCCTCCTCTTCCTTTTCCTTCTCCTTTTCCTCCTCCTCCTCTTCCTCCTCCTCCTCCTTTGTGTCAGTGAGTGGTACTATCAGCTTTCCAAATATCAAAGCCAGACACCGGAGAGTGAACTCGGCCCACCCTCTCATATCTGATCAATCCCCCTAGACCAGGCCCTGTGTCCCGTATAGAGATGTCTTGGTCAACACTCCTAACACCTGGCCAAGCTCTGTTCTCCCCCATCTGTGTTCCCTCTCATACTCATCCCTCCTCTGGAGTGCTTCCCCTTCAGCCTCAGCTCACCCTCCCTCACTTTTCCTTTGTGCTCCAACTGGCCTCCCAACACATCAGACAGAAGTTAGTTTTCTACTGGTTTGTCTGCCCATGAGGCTGTAAGATGCTTCAGGGCAGAGCTGGTATTACTCACCCTGTATCCTCACAACACAGTGCAGCTTCTAGCTCGTGGTAAATGCTCAAAGATGTCTGTCTCATGAGCCTGTGCCTACTTATCTCAGACTGCACTGAATCTCAGCTTCTGCTCAGTGCCCTACAGTGCCCAGCAGACCTTAATTAAGAAAGGGAAGTTGAATAGAAGCTCTAAGAAACCTCCAAAAACCAAGGATATTCAAATGCACCTCTGAAGGAATACCTGTTCCAACCTGGATACTCTCCTGTGTGGGACAAAGATGCCCTCTAGCCTTCTGTTTCCCTTCCTGTAACATTGGAATAACAATATAAACCCTCCACGCTGGAGTTTTCTGAGACAAACTGGGATTTTCTTTTCTTTTTTGACAATATATATATATATATATATATATATATATATATATATATATTATTGATTTTGTACAGAGAGGAAGGGAGAGAGATAGAGAGTTAGAAACATCGATGAGAGATAGACATCGATCAGCTACCTCTTGCACACCCCCTACTGGGGATGTGCCTGCAACCAAGATACATGCCCTTGACTGGAATCAAACCCGGGACCTTTCAGTCAATCGATGCTCTATCCATTGAGCCAAACCGGTCTTGGCCAAACTGGGCTTTTCAATTTACATTGGGCTGCTCTACATGGAAAAGGTCCATGATTTACTTGAACAAATTTTTCCATATTGGGGAGCAGGCAAAAGGTTTCTTGAGTTCTGGCTTCCTAAATGGTTAAAATAGAAAGAGGACTAACTGAGGACAAAGAAACCACCCCCATGATCCCGGGCAGGCATGGCCTTTGGTGGAGCCGGGGCATGCAGAGGGGACATTGGTGAACAGGCACCTTCGGTGGGGCTGCTGGTGTGAAGTGTCTGGTCCCAGAGGTGTGAAGGTCTAGAGCAGCGGCTCTCAGAGTATGGCCCAGGACCAGCAGCATCAGCATTACCTGAAAACTTGTTCATCAGAAACTTTCAGGGCGGGACTGTCATCTTTGTTTTAGTCAGCCCTCCAGATGAATGTGAGGGTTCTGATGCACCGTGAAATTAAGGACCACTCGCCGACAGCGGAGTTCAGAGTATGAGCAGTTGACTGTGGCCCTTGGTTTCAATCCTGGGGCTCTCCCCACCAGCTCCGGCTAGTCCTGAGACTGGTGCTGGAATTCTCAGCCTATCCCCTCCCTGGGTATTGCAGTACTGGAGTCTTCCAGCAGGTGGCGAAAAAGGAAGCAGATGTAGACCCATGACAGGTGTTTCTCAAAGTGGGGTTTCCTGACCCTCCATCAGGAGCTTGTTCCAGATCATGGTTGACAAGTTCCCAATAAGATTCCTGAGGACAGGAAATCTGGGGACAGGCCCCTTCCAGCTGTAATTGTCAGAGCTTTTCCAGAAAGCGCAGGCAGGCGCTGCAGTAAGGGAAACCTGGTGCTTGCTTTGTATCTGGAATATAAATTGCAGTCAGGCAGGCTTGGCAGCTTTCCGGAGGCCCAACCCTAGTGAACTCTGGTGGCAAAAATGTACAGGACTATTGAGCATGACTACAGAGGTGGAAGGTATTACGTAGGTATACTGTATTTTCCGGCGTATAAGACGACCCCCTAATTTTACAGTTAAAACATAGGTTTAGGCCTATATTCGCTGTATAAGACTACCCCCACTTCCGAGGCAACACCAGTTCTTTTTTTAATAGACCTCCTCTGACTCTGGCCAATCTGAGCAGGCTTTTTACTAGAACACAGTGTGCATGTTCTGAACCCGAAGCTACACTGTGATCTAGTAAAAAGCCTGCTCAGATTGGCCAGAGTCAGAGAGGCGGTCTATTAAAAAAAGAACTGGTGTTGCCTCGGAAGTGGGGGGTAGTCTTATACAGCGAATATAGGCCTAAACCTATGTTTTAACTGTAGAATTAGGGGGTCGTCTTATACGCCGGAAAACACGGTATGTCTGTAGCTCAAGGGTAGAGTATTTGACTGCAGACCAAGAGGTCCTGGTTCAAATTCAGATACCCCTACTAGCTCTCACTTTTGCTTACTAGAGCTGATGTTGAAGATTTAACATCTTTCTCTAGTCCAATCTCAGGATACTGAGCTTTCTCAAATCTGGGAAAAAAAAAAAAAAAAAAAAAAAAAAAGCCAGGGGCAACTTAAAACCCTGTCACTGAACACCATAGTCCAAGAATGATGGTTCTCCAATTCTGACTTTTTATTTCATTTATCACAGGTCTTGTTCTTCATAGGCTAGTTTAGGCTCACTTTTTCTTCTTCTTAATCCTCACCCAAGGATATTCTTCCATTGATTTTTAAAAGAAAGTGTGGAAGAAAGAGGGTAAGACAGAGAGAAATATCGATGCGGACCAGGGACCAGACTGGGGAGGAGTTTGCAACCGAGTACGTGCCCTTGACTGATGCTCTAACCACTGAGCAACCAGCTAGGGCAGGTTCACTTTTTTCTATTACCCCTCCCCCCCCCCAAGGTTAAAATGAAGCTGTTGTTGTTTAAAAAACTGTTTGTGAAAATTGCTAGTTTATCCCCATTTCTACATGTTTTCATTGCCCCAAATCAGTGGTGTGCTGGTCAATATTTAACAACCAGGTCTTGGGGGACGGGCATTGCTGATGGTTTCATCTTTCCCAATTTCACGGTGTAAATAATCCCTCCATGGACAATGTTAAGTTACAAAACCATAAAGTCACTATTCAGGAGTTGGGAAGATAATGCTCCCAAGTGACTCTCCGGTGCAGGCCAGCTCAAGCACACCACTGTCTCCAATCCATGTCCCTCACTCAGTCCTCTCCAGAAAATAGTCATCCAAGAAATAATGTCACGCGGTCAGCGCTGTGGTGAGCGAGGGAGCGGGGCGACGGGGGAGGACGCGCCAAGGTCTGGCAGCCACCACCGCCCCCCTACGACCCATCCTGCGCCGCGGCCCGCAGCCCCTCTCCACCCCTGAAGGACCCGCCTCCTTCTCCTGAACCCTCCCCCACCTCAACGCCACCCCGGGGGGCCTCGGCCAAGGTCGGGTTAAGAGGTGGGCCCGCTGGGAGAGGCGGGTCACCTTTCCTCCGAGCGTCCTCACCTGGCACAGAGGATGCGCTCAGTAAGTGTTGGATGCAAGAATGGATGGACGGACGGACGCGTACCCGCGGGCGAGCCCCCCATAAACGGGCCACCCGACGGGTCCCAGCGTCCAGCCCCTCCTGGCGGCTTCGGGGGTCGGGGTGCGGCAGCGGGGGGTTCTGCCAGGCCCCGGGCCGCGGCGCCCTCTGGGAAGTGTAGTTCGCGCCTGCGCCCCGCAGGCCGCCGAGGCCGGGGTCTCGGGGCGGAAGCGGGACCACCCCGCCAGCGCCGCGGGGCTCGGGCCGGCCGGCCGCGCCCTCCCCGCCCCTCCTTCGGGTCCGCCCGCCCGGCCCCGCCTTCTCCCGCGCCGACCCCGCTCCTCGGCCGCCCGTGTCGTCGCCGCCGAGAGTCGCGCCGCCACCTGCGGGCGGGGGAGCGGGCGCCCGGCCGCGGCCGGAAGCTGGAGCCGGGCTGCGGCCGGGATGGCGCACCAGGTGAGGCGCGCGGGGACCCGGGGGAGGGCGGGCGGGCGGACGGACGCCTGAGCGGGTCGGCTGGCGGGGCAGGGCGCGGCCTCCAGGGCGGGGGAGAGCCTGGGACCCCCCAACTTTGGGATCGGGCTGTACGGGCCGCGCAGGCCCGGCGCGCAGGGTTGCTGGCGCTGTGTCCCTCCTCCGGCCACCCCCTAGGTCCACCCAGCACCCAGATCCACCCAGCACCCAGGTCCTCCCAGCACCCAGATCCACCCAGCACCCAGGTCCACCCAGCACCCAGATCCACCCAGCACCCAGGTCCACCCAGCACCTAGATTCCCCTCCTTTCCCCCCCGCCCCCCGCCCGCCTTCGGTACACTCTACAAGGGCTTCTTTCGCCAAGTCGCCCTTTGGGTTAACCATCGCTCTCCCTCGGCTTGGCTAGTTTCATTAATGATGTTATCCTGGGAGCGGTAGGCACGAAGGCCTCGGGGGAATTAATAAATCTGATACTTCTATTCTTGGTAGGGTGTTGAACACACACCTCTCTCAGCCCCCATCTGCCTTGGGGTGGGGCGGGGGAGACATGGAACTAGGTCCATGCCCACCACTCCCAGGTTTATCCTCTAGGTAAGGTGTGTGGTGCCTGGCAGAGCCTGGAAAGAGTGATGCCGGTGGGGAGTCGCCACTCTTTCTTAGGCGTCTTTTGGAGCCAGTTCTTTTTTTTTTCTTTTTCTTTCTTTTTTTTTTTTTTTTTTTTTTAAATGTTTTATTGATTTTTTACAGAGAGGAAGGGAGAGAGATAGAGAGCTAGAAACATCGATGAGAGAGATGGTGTTGAGCGAGGGGGTGGCGTTGAGGGGGGGGGTTCCGGAGAAGGAGGTGGGTCCTTCAGGAGTGGAGAGGGGCTGCAGGCTGGGGCGCAGGATGGGTCGTGGGGGGGCGGTGGTGGCTGCCAAACCTTGGCGCATCATCACCCATCCCCTACCGGGGATGTGCCCGCAACCAATGTGCATGCCCTTGACCGGGATGGAACCTGGGACCTTTCAGTCCACAGACCAACGCTCTACCGCTGAGCCAAACCGGTTTCGGCTGGAGCCAGTTCTGTAACTGGGATGGCTCCTGAGCTTGGACCAGTCTCAGGCAACTGTAGACTCCATTGTTGGGGTGGGTTGGGGATTGGGTCTGGAGCAGTCACTGTGCCAGGACCTTGGCGTCATTCATGCCTCACCAGCTCTTTGGTAGGATGGATCAGCCGCCTGTTGGAGGCGTGGGATCAGGGGCAGCCTCCCTTGTCAGTTCTGGCGGTCAATCGGCACTCTTACTCAGTTATGCCCACTGGCCCCATTCTAGGGCCTCCCCATTCCATAGTTTCCTCTTCTATAAAATGAGGGGTTGGACCACTGATCTTTCAGACCTGCTGTTGTGGGATGTGTGTGTGCTTACATTGTGTGGCTTCATAGAGATGGCCTTGGGGAGGAAGAGGGCACCATCAGATGGAGAGGAACAGGGTAGGCCTCCTGTCTTCCTGGCCAGTGCCAATCCCCAAAGCCCAGGGGCCTGTGAGGCCAGCCTACAGGGTGCAGGGTCTGATCTGGGAGCCCAAGCCTGAAGCATGCTGGGAGAATGGGTCAGGCTGAGAAGGACAGCGAAAGATGGATGAGTCTGATGGGTATTAACCCCGCGGTTTTCACGCTGGGCTTGTCACACCATGAAAGGAGTGTTTCAGGAGGACCAGCATGGCAGCAGTGAGCTAGTAGGCTGCTTAGTTACAGCAATCCTTGATCACCCGAGAAAGCTTTTCTCCCATTGGCTGAGGGAGGGTGGTGGTCTGAGAGCCACAAAGGGGATGACATAGGACCCGAGGAGGGTGGTGGGTCCAGATTGTAAGCCAGATGTGGGTTTCGCTCTCTTGAAGGTATTTGTGGCCTGCACATTTTCACACTCATTCTTTTTTTAAATATATATATATTTTTTATCGATTTCAGAGAGGAAGGGAGAGAGGTAGAAACATTGGTGAGAGAGAATCACGGACCAGCTACCTCTCACTCACTCCCTAGTGCAGATCAAGCCCGTGACCCAGGCATGTACCCTTGATGGAATTTGAACCCGGGACCCTTCATCCTCAGGCCAAGCTCTGTCCACTGAGCTAAACTGGCCAGAGCTTCACACTCATTCTTGCTCACTCCCTCACATACACATACTCCTCACCTCTGCTTTTTTGGGCAGGGGTAAGCCACTGATGGGACTGCCTACCCTGGCCACAGTCAGTTTCATTTTTATTTTGTAAGAACTTAGTCATAGAAGAGTTTGTTTTGAGGTTGGGTGGTGAAAGGCCTGGGGACCATGTCTTCCAGGTGTCTAGAAGAGCTGGGTATATTAGCCAGGAGATAAACAGGCACTTGGAGCGTATGGAAGAGTCCTTTCATTCTGTGTAGCTGGAGATAGCAGGTTGTGATCTGCAGGTGGGTGTTATGCAGACAGATTTGGCTGAGGTAACACTACTCATAGCACTTAAATGTTCCAGCATTTGTTCTGGGCACTTTTCCTGTATCAATCTTAGTCTTCGCAGCATCCCTACAACGTAGGTTGTTATGATCCCAGTCTTATAGATGAATTTGGCGAGGTACCATAGCTAGTATGAAGCAAAGCAGGGATTGGAATGCCAGCAGCCTGGACAAGCCCTAACCCCCATGGTCTACCCTGTCTATGTCCAGAACTTAACTGCCAGATCAGGCCAGCAATAGGACCAGCTTTGGGGAATGTGAAGGCACGTAGGTAGAAATTGATGAGCCACCCAGTTTTGAGTGGAAATTGGCATGAATTATTCCAAAAGTCCACAGCAGTTGTCTGTGATCTCTAGTTCACAGACATGCTACCTTGGACAGCTTGTGCCTGGGGAGAAGGGAGGGGCCGGGGGGCCTGTTTACCAGCATAGTTTCATATTCAGGGTTAGATCAGGCAGGTTCCATCCAGTCTCCAGCCTGTGACTGGATTGCATGTCACAATCCCCTGGGATGTTTTAAAATGTTGATTTCTGAATCCTGAAAGCACTAAATCATGATTTAGTAGATCTAGGATGCATTGGGAAATCAGCCCTGATTAAAAGGAACTGTGAAGCACATCCTTTGAACCTCAAAGCCCTTTTGTTTTGTCAGTTGTTATGTTGTAAGAGCTTCTGATGGGAGAAGCTGAGGACACAGAGTATTTTCCACCTGGTTTACTAAACAGATGCTGCCTGCTGGCTTGTACTAGCTCTCCGGCAGAACTAACGCTTGGCCTATGCCCCGTTCCCTTCTCCAGCCGGGTCATGCTATTCAGCAGTGGCTACAGGAGCATTTGTTGTAGTCAGGACTCATACCCTTTCCCAATCACCAACTTGAACAGATCTGTTTCAAGGTTACTGGGAATGGAACTGTCTGATACAGATACCCTGATGTCTATCCCTACAGACTTTACTGGGTAATAATAATTTTATAAATTGGATGCTAGATGCCTAGTTTCTTAAGGTTTACTGATCTTATTATTATTATTATTATTGGACTAGAGGTCCAGTGCACGAAATTCATGCACTGGTAAGGTCCCTAGGGGCTGCCGCTGGCCAGGACCTCCCTCCCTTCCCCCAGTTGCCTGCTGCCACCACCACTGCTGCCTGTGCTGCTGCCTAGGGCCTCCCTCCCTTTCCCCAGCCAGCCCCACCCCCTGGTCGAACTCCCAGACCACCTCCCAGTCTGAGGAGACAATTTGCATACTACACTTTTATTATAAAGGATGCAGTCACAGTCATGCACAGAGAAGGGACACCAAAATTTCAGTCCAAAAGGCCTGAGCCCTAGACGTGGTCCTGAAGCTCTGTCCACTCTGCTTGCTGCTTCACTCTTCCTCACTTTGGAACCTCTGCCCCTCACAGGATAAGCGTGTCACCGGCATAGGGCTGTTTTGTATCAAACAGGAGGTCTGAAATGCTCCGAAACATGTCAGGACCATGCCTCCACTGATCTGTGAGCCCCTGGAGAACAGAGCCTCTGTGTGACATATGTCACTTAGCAGCCAGCAGGGCGCCTTTAGGGTGTGGGTGTTCAAGTTAGAGAGGGCAGGGGAGAGAGGCAGATGAAGCGGAGAGGCTGGCTGGGTGGCTGGGGCACCCGGTATGGGGAGATGGGTGTGTCAGGGCAGTCGTACATGCCTGCAATCCCAGATAGGAGGTGTCCAGGCTGGCCGCTGCTCGCAGCATGGCATATGTTATCCAGAGAGGAGCTCAGGTCAGCTAATATCCCTGGTCCAGGGAGTGGCCTTGTTAGAAAGGAGGACCCTCCATAGCTCAGCATGTCCACGCTATCGGCATGCTCTTCCCTGGATCTAACTCGGACTTGCCGAGCCAGCTCTGTGTTGAGCTACCAGAAGATGGAGAAGAAATGAGCATCCACGGCCGTCCTGACATGATTCCTCTTACTGGCCTCTGGACGGCATGTCTGGGCGGAACCTGTTTTGCGGGGGCAGAGCCTGATGTTGATCATTACACCCCTAGGTTATGTTTCTCAGGGGAACTGACTTTTACGAACCAAACTCACAGAGGACAGATAGATAAATCAACTAGGCCAGTTCCTTAACACATTGCAGATGGATCCCAAGAATTCTCACTTCGTATTACAGTGTTTTACAAAGTATCATACTTTGAAAAGATATTAGCTTGTAAGAACATGTAACAAATGACTTCAACATGCAATGGGTATTTAATTTTAAAGAGTGCCTTTAACATTTATGTAAAACATTTTTTTTGTACTTGTTCAGTAGAAACTTATTTGGCCACTGGGTAAAACTAGCAATAAAACTACTGGTCCGCATTAATACATATAATTTCCCCTTATCCACCGTTTTGCTTTTTGAGGATTCAGTTGCCCAGCTTCTGGTGGCCCCGGGCGTTCCTTGGCTTGTGGTTGCATCAATCCAGACTCTGCCTCTGTTGTCACAGGGCCTTCTCTTGTGTATCTCTTCTTATAAGGACGCCGGTCATACTGGGTTAAGGTCCTAACTTATTTTAACTAGTTACATCTGTAATGACCCTTTTTCCAAATAAGGCCACATTCACAGCAGAGCATTTTGGGGACACAGTCGACTCCCATCTGATTGCTGTTGCTCCTTCGCCTGCTCCCGTGTGTCAGATGCCCACCACATGCTGGATGCGCCCCACTCCTTTGTGTGTGCCTGACCTGGACGGGATGGAACCAGCCAACTCCCCCGAGGTTGTGCCCACAGGTGTCCATCGCCTTCCAGGACCTGGCCGTGCGGTTCTCTGAGGAGGAGTGGCAGCTGCTCGGGGAGAGGCAGAGGGAGCTCTACCGGGATGTGATGCAGGAGAACTACCAGGCGCTGGCCTCCCTGGGTGAGGAGCTGGCAGTGCCCGGGGCCTTTCTGGGGAGGTGTAGCAAGAGCCTGAGCTGAAAGTGGAAGGCGGCTAGATCCAACACCCCAGGCCCTTAATCTTCCTTTACAAAAGGAACACCGTTTGAGGTGGTGTTCTGAGAGCCACAGCTGCGCTGGGGGCCTCACTGATATTTTACGCCATTGTTGCTTCCGTGGACCACACCAGGGTCCTGGGTATGCTTTGGTGGGGGTGCTTAAAGGCTGGCAAAACGCTGAGCGAGGTGGTTTGAGTTGTTATGTTGTAGGTCCTAACACTCTTTGATTCTTGGGGTTTGGGTGATCATATGAACACATGGGTAAACAGATACATGGATGTACGGGCATCGGGGCCGCCTGCATGCTTGGGCTTAGTGGGGGAAGGCAAGCTTCCACTCCAGAGGAACTGTCCCTCTTCTTTCTCAGGGACAGCTGACCTGCTCCCCCTCTCTGCCTTCCTGTCTCCCGCGGAGCCTGGAGGAGCCATGAGCCGGAGCAAAGCTGGTGAGGAGCAGGAGCCTCCTGAGGGAGGTGCCCTCGGTGAGCAATCTTGGTAGATGAAGGCCTGGTCCCTTTGGGTATCCTGGTCCCCTTGGGCAGCTTGGGCCCGAGCGGATTCTCTCTTGTCCCTCCCACCATGTGGTCCTTAGCTCCTATCTCCACTGCTCATCGTGACATTAGTCCTCTCCTCCCCACCTTGCTCTTTCACCCCTCGTCCCTCTGGGCTCGGAGCTTGGGGCACTTGCCCATTGAGTGACCTGCTCAGAAAAAACCTGGGGTCGCCCTTGGAGTGCATCACTTCTGTGGGCCCCCTTCCTGCCACCAACAAGCAGAGCCCACCTCAAGTTCCTGAAGGTGCTGCCACGGGGCTGGCATCCGGAGACCCAGCCCGGGCAAGGCCGGGAGGTTTAGGGGGAGTGCCAGGAAAGGCAGAGGCTCCATTGGTGAGAGGGGATGGGGATGCAGGCCTTGGCATTCCCTCGGAAGACTAACAGGGAATGAAGGCAGAATATAGAAGAGGCCAGTCCTGGCTGGGACATGGGCAGGTCACCAGCCTGAGCCCTGGTCCTCTTATGTCATAGCCATCGGTCCCCCCTCTGCCGCTCCTGATGTGGTTGTGGGACCACGTGAAACGCGTACAGAGGTGTGAGCGCCGAGCTGACGTAGGGGTGGGGACTCACTGTGGCCTCTCCGGCAGGAGGAGCACCCCAGCACAGCCTGCACCTCAGCGCCCTGGTGCAGCTGGTGAAGGAGATTCCGGGGTTCCTGTTTGGGGAAATTGGCCCTGAGATCGGGAGAGCCGGCCTGGATGGGGAACAGGTGAACCCTGAAGGTGAGTCGGAGAGCAGGGCAGCCTTTGCACTCCACAAGGTGAAGTTTAAGCTGTGAGCAGTGCCATGTGTGTGCTGTGTGCCTGCCCAGCTGCTGCCAGGCCCTAGCTGGAGTCTTCCCATTTCATGAATGCCCCGGCAGCGTGCCTGCCTGCCTCAGAGACATGATAGTTGATGAAACATCAGCTTCTGACTTTTCTCACAGTGGTTTCCACACTGCTTCATCCACATTCCTGTGGCCACGTCACATTGTGCCCTGCGTGGCAGGGGAGGCCAGTCCCTGTTCTAAGGTGAGGAAGGCTAAGAGGTAGCTTGTTTGAATGGCCAGTGGGGACAAAGGTCCCCTCCCAGCCTGTGCTCTTCCCACCTCACCAGTCTGTCCTTACTGGCCCTTCTCAGCTCAGGCCTCACCACTGAGGGGGTCTGTCCCCATCAGCGGGAGCCTTTAGGGTTCCTTTGCGTCCGCTCTGTTGATGGTAACTGAAATAGAAAGTGGGGGTGGGAGGGATCTAATCAGAACAAGACTGTGGCTGTGAGTTGACATTTTAGGGCTCTGGAATGACAAGGCAGAGCTTTCTGATGTCCTGTTAGTGGAACACGGCAAGGAAGGGCCAGAATGGAGCACTTTCCCTGCTGGGCTTAAATCTCAGCTTCCAGTGTCCTCTCCCTCCTCCCAACAGCACCTGTGACGGTGGCCACTTGCCCTCTCCAAGGCCTGCCCACCTGCCTTCCAGACACGCCCGTCCACCGGCCCAGAAGCAGCTCATCGTCCAGCAGCTCACCGGGAGCCAGGAGGCAGGGCAGCCCCCTCCCCATCAGTGAGTGTGACCCAGTGGGGGCAGGTTCCAACTCTGGATTCAGTAGAACCGGACCCCATGCCCTGTTCATTTCCCTAAGACTTGGTTTTCCTTGTTGTTAAATGGGGATAAGCTCCCTGCTCGGCCTCCGTCTGTGAACCAAAGAAGAGGCATGATGCTCAGTGCCAGGGTACTGTGTGCTCACGCTGCTCATGCACATAAGTGGGGGCATTTGCTGACATACAAGCCTAACATAGCTGCACACCTGACCTGATTCTCAGGCCTTCTCAACAAGGCAACCCTAAGAGCAGAGGAGGGTAAGGGTAATCATCAGAATTTTCTCTGGGGGATCTCACTTTATTTTTAAAAAATTCTTGCAAATTTTGCTTTTGTCTGAATATCTGTTTTTATTAAAAATATTTTAAATTCATATGGAATAAAATTAATTTTATTATTATTTTGAGTTTTCTTCTACTGGAGCCCATGGATTCATGTGTCACCTGGTAGATTTGCTCTGGGGTTCCAAGTCTCCACAGTTGACAAGCATGAGTGCAGAATGAGGGCCTATATGTTGAGATTGCTCGTGTCACCTGCTGGTCCAAAGTCAGAGGCTGGAGTTGGGGGAGAGTCCCAGGCATTTGGAGGGAACAGTCTTGGTATTTACAGTCCACCAGGAGGAAACTGAGATCTTCCCAGGCAAGACCTGGGAGACAAGCCTTGCGGGAGTTCAGGTTGCCCCCTGGGAGTTTGGGGGCTGGAGGGGCCTCTCCCTCTGTGGGTACCTGATCTGGGCAATCCCCTTCTTCTCTTGCTACAGAAACTGCAGACACCCAGGGGCCTATGGAGAAGGAAGGCCCTGGAGCCCCAGGTGGGAAGTGCAGTCCTCTCGCCTGTAGCCCCAGCAGAAGGAAGAGCCACAGCAAACAGCAGAGAGGGACCTCAGGAGCAGGTGAGAGGCTGGCTTTCCTGAGAGTGGGGTCTATCCTGGAGCTGAGGGGTAGGGAAATGGAGGCGTGTTATCTCCCCTCTCAGCCTCTAGACAACCCGACAGAGCAGGGGCCATCCCATTCTCACAGGCGGGAGATCTCAGATGCCCTGCCATCTCACAGCTGCCACCATCCGGGCTGCACTGACCTTGGCCAATCTTTCAGGCCCCACAGGAACCTCTCCCGGGAGCAGCCCCTTGCAAGGCCTCATCAACTGCCTGAAGGAAATCCTTGTGCCTGGGCCCCAGCACCCTGAGGCATCCCTGAGTTTACTGCCTCCTGCCCCGGGCCTGGGCATGTCACCACTAACCCGGGTGGAGCTGGGACCTGGGAGCCCTCCCTGGGGAGGTAAGTCCTATGGACCTGTCTCAGGCCAAGGTTTCCGAAGCCCCTAACACTCGAATTGGCTTTCTAGAGCTATTTCCCTTTAAATGGAGTGCCTTCCCGAAGGATCATTCTCGACTTGGCTGCTCGATGTCATCAGGCTCATGTTTCTGGAGCCAGGTGGCTTTCTCAGCATAGCATGTGGTCAGCCAGTAGAAGACAACTCAAAGCAGACCCTGGATTCTTTTGTGTTCTTTACTCGCCCACTTGTGGGATGTCAGAGGAGAAGGTGCTGAATGAGTTGAACACTTACCGTGGAATTGGGGGATCAGCAGCGGGGCCAGGAACGCCTGTCCTGGAGCCTGACATGTTAACCGTGCTGACTGAAGACTCCTGAAGCCTTGAGCCTCAGTTTCCCCATCTGAAAAAGAGGGTCATTGTTTCCACCTAAGAGGGCTGTGTGAGGCTTAGGTACAGTAATGTGTGCGTGCGTGCGTGCGTGTGTAAAAGGCTTGGCCTCCTCGATGTAAGTCCTGTTCAGGGCCCAGAGACTGTCTACAAGCAGTGACCCATCAGCCCACTCCTCCATTTGTGTTCAGAGTCACACCATGTGCTCTGCCTTTATTTTTCTTTCCCTTCTCTGTCCAGTTCTGGGAGGAATGGAGACAGGTATTTTATTTTATTATTATTTTTTAAAATATATTTTATTGAGACAGATATTTAAAACCTGCCACAGTGGCCTGTGCAAGACCGAATGAGTTACAGATGACCCATACCTCCAGATTTCTGGCCCTGAACTCTTTCACCTGCTTACCTGGGTTGTCTACCTATTGTTTCTACAAAGACTGAGGACGCTGGGCTCAGAGTGGAAATATGTTGCTTTTTCCTGTAGTGAAAACAGAGCCTGCGTCCGGGGATTGTCCCCTCCAGGGGCTGCTGAAGTGTCTGAAGGAGATCCCATTGGCCCAGGACACGCACCCCAGCCCTTCGGGAGCCGGGGAACCACAGCTGCAGGAGGATCCGGGGGCCTGGAAGAGGAATTCTGGAGGTAAAGGCACCGGCTGAGCTGGGAGGGCCTTGGGCATCATCCATTCCCTTCCTCTGCTCTAGGCAGGGCGTGGGTGACGCTCCGTAGTAAGACACTCGGGCCATGCTTCTGTGTGTTGATCGGAATGCCCAGATGCTGGGGATTGTCACCATAAATGGAGCTGGTCATGCAGGAGGTGCTTCATCAGTCCAGGTCAGCTCTTAGAGTAGGAGCCAGGAATTCCAGAAGGAAGGAAGGGATGGTGTAGGGGAGGGAGACTGAGAACAGAGGCAGAGCTCAGCCCAGCAGACATTTGGGGCATAATTTGGAGGTGGGGTTCTTATCATGTCCTTGCAGGCTGGGATAGTATTTCCACACTCTCAGCTCTCCTGTGCTCAGCCGCTTCTCAGGACGTTGAGAAAGTCTAATTGACACAGGTGTGCTAGCCTGGGAGGACAGGCTCAGATAGGTGCTTCCTGAGGAGAACTGACCTGGATCCTCTGTGCAAACCTCTGGAGGTGCCCCTCTTGGGAGCAGCGGGGTGAGGCGCGGCTGGTGGCAGGACAGGAAGTGTGAGTTGGTCCATCTGCTGGTGACTGAGGGTGACGATCTCAGCGGGGAGACTGCTGTGGAGGCCAGGGGCCTTGGAAGTCCTGTCCTAACTCATGAGGCCTCATGGAGGGCTTCCCGCAGGGACCAAACCCCTCCAGACTCTGCCTTCCTGCTCTGGTGCCGGCGCTGGCCATGTGCTCTCTGTGAAGAAGGAGAAGATGGAGGATGGCTGGGCCCAGAGCCCCCCAGTGCCTGCATCCTGTCAGCTCCGCAAGCGGACCCACAGACCGTCTGCCACCAGCAGTCCCAGGGGTGATGGAGACACCAGTGGGGACCAGATACTCAGATGGGGCCCCACAGCGCAAGGTGAGGCCTGGGTCCTTTGCTTGAGTCCTGATGGGGTTCTCAGCCTCCAATAAAGTTATGCCCGTCCACAGGGGAAGAGCCCACTATCCTCAAGCAATCAATGCCCTCTCTCACCCATTCCCTCCTTAATCCAGCCTTGCCCAGGAGCCCTCCCTTTTAAGTACCTTCACTTGCAGAGATTGCCTGTCAGGGAGCTGGCTACTCATACATGTGGGTCTACCCCATGCCCCAGAGCCTGGGGGACAGTCTGTCATTCCCTGTGTGAACAGAGCAGATCTAAGTTCCCTACCGAAGGGTGTCCTGCCTGGCAGGCTCCCGTACCCTGTGCCGGACTTCTCACCGCAGCAGAAGTGGGCGGGGCAGCCAGCCTGGGGCCAGGCCAGGGGCCCTGCCAGAGTTGGTGATAGGGCCATCTCCCCTGTCCCAGCCAGCAGTGCCTCGAGCTCACCTCTGGAAGCCCTGGAGGCCTGTCTGAAGGGCATTCCCCTGAGTGGGTCGTTACCTCCCCAGCCGCCGCCGCCGGCCACCTCTTGGTTCCAGAGCCCCCATCCGGGAGACCCCGGGTCTCAGAGGCCTGAGCTGAACCCCCGAGGATCACACAGTCAAGGTAGACTTGGCCATGCCCTGGGGATGGCGTTTGACCCAGCACACGCACGTGGTGGGGTGGGGGCTGCTGAGGACACTGTTATGTTCTCCTCTCTGGGTCTCATAAAGTGCAAGCCCTTCTCCCCTCCCACCCACCCCACCCCCTTTCATGCCTGGCCCCAAACAGCTCCTGAATTGGATGGAAGTCAGTTACACTGTTCCCGCCCACTGCCTTCTCTGAGAGCTCTTTCTTACTCCAGCCCCATGAGACCAATGGCTGGGGTCATGTGGGTTAACATGCTGTGGTATTCTAATCAGTGCTGTGAGCTCCCTGCCCAGAGAGAGACCCCGGCGGAAGATCCTTGGGACAGGGCTCCTGGGCGTCTTCCCACAGCTCAGGCCCTGGGATCTCTTCCGAGTGGCTTTCCCGTGATGCCAGCTGTGCTGTTTCCTGCAGGACTGACTGCAGGGCCTCTCCCGACTCTGGGCCTGCAGGGCTTCATCAGAGATGGCCCTGCCTTCGCCCCAGGTCCCCACAGCACCCCCACCAGCTTCTCCTCATCCAGCAGTACTGACGGGGACCTGGATTTCCAGATTTCTGAGTGCAGCCAGGGACGTAGGCCTGGAAAAGGTGAGCAGGCTGGCCTAAGGCTTGCGATCAACCCCGGGAAAGGGTAGGAGGTGTTCCATCCAACTGTGGTGCCCACTATATCCTAGTCAGGCCCCGGTGCCCATGCTGGCAGCAGACTGGGGTGCCCTTACCACAGCCCACTGACCTGACTTCCAAGAAGGTCCTCCCTGAGCAGGGCCGCCCAGAGCCTGGACTGACACAGGTTTGGGGCCAGGTCTCAGGGCAGGTACCCTGCACTGCATGACAGGTCCAGTGCTCTGTGCCTCCTCCCCTGGGCTCAGCCGCCCTGAATACAGGGTGCAGGCAAGGTCCCTGGGGTTTGCAGAGACTGAGCTCTGACTGTCTGACAACTACAGATGTTGGCTTTTCACAGGAATTCCAGTCCGTAGCGCCCCACTCCAGGGCCTGGAGAATTGTCTCAGAGAGATACCTGTGCCCAGGTCACAGCCTACCTGGTCCTGGTCCTCGGCGGGGGACAGAGAACCACAGAGAGTGGAGTCCAAGAACTGGATGGCAGACAAGGAAGGTAAAGCATGGTTGTCAGGGGGCCTAGGAGTAGGAAAAGGGCCACATCCACCCCTAAGATGAAAAGACATGCTGGCACTAGCCAGTTTGGCTCAGTGGATAAAGCATCAGCCTGCGGATTAAAGGGTCCTGGGTTTGATCTCAGTCAAGGGCACATGCCTAGGTTGCAAGCTTGATCCCCAGTAGGAAGCATGCAAGAGGCAGCCTTTCAATGATTCTCTCTTATCACTGATGTTTCTCTCTCTCCCCCCCCACTCTCCCTTCCTCTCTGAAGTCAATAAAAATATTTTTTTTTAAAAAGAAACTCTCTGGAAATGACCTGGGCAGAGGCTAATGTGAGGCCAGAAAGCCAGAGAGCACTGTCCGCCTCTGCATGGCAGGTGCAGCCGGGGCAGGGCCCTCTGCTGCCGAGTTCAGGCCTGAGCCGGCCTTGGCCGTGGAGGAGTGTCTTTCGATTGCGGCTGTTCTGGCCCCGTGTGCTTGGTGTCGGGCATAGTCACTGGGCTGTGCGTTGACAGGAGTCCGTGAGCTGGGTCTGAATAGATCCCAGAGGATGTAGGCACCCTGGGAACATCGGCAGGTCTGGTGAGAGTTCCACACCTGGAGCATGTGTGCCCGAGAACACAGCGATGACAGTTCTCTGTCCACTAACTTCCTTTCCTTGGTGCCAACACAGAGCCCTGGGGCAGACAGGCCGCTGGGCCTCTCATCAAAACAGGACTGAGGAGAGAGGCGTGTGAACCAGTCCACCTCAGAGGGGACGTGCCCACCAGGAGCCTGCAGCCAGCCAGCCCACAGGCACTCACCCCTAGCCGTGTCCCTGCCTGCTGCCAGCGAGGGCTCAAAGACCACATGGCCACCAGGCCAGGTCCATGGAAGTGGCTCCAGGACGGTAAGCTGACATTTGCCCTTGGCACTTCCTGGGATGTTTTTGCTCCAAAGTCTTTGATAAGAAATAGATTTCTCTTCCCTCTCTGTTTCTCTCTTCCTTCCCTGTCAGACACCCATTCATTCCCTAGGCTGCCAGCTGAGCACATGGGTAAGTGCAAGGGGCTCCCGCTGCTGCTGTGGCCACTTAGTTTAGCTGGCAGCAGAATTCTGTTCTGCTGAAGCGCTGGTAGGTGTGACTTGTTGGAATAAGTATGGTGTGTCTAACACTCCCACCAGGCAAGAGCTGGTTTTGGGGGCCTCCTGTGGGCTTGACTGAGTCTCTGCTGTTGGACATGGTCCTGAGGGAGTGGAGCAGGAGGACCTGGGGCCTGGCTGGAACTGACTACTAGTGGCTTCGGTGACTTGAGTCTTCCAGAAAGTTCCCCAGCTGGATTTCCACAGGGGTTGGGGGCCTAGCCAGGCTTTGGTTTCACTCTTGTCCACCGTCATGGCAGAGAGGATGTTCAGGTCCACCGGAGCTTGTCTGGGGCTGTGTGCCTGTTCATTCAGGCAGGGGGTCCTCCTACCTGTCAAGCTGATGGACAGAAGGTTCTTCTGTCATTTGCCCAGGGGCAGCCACCACGCCCTCCCCTCTTCACTGCCTGGAGAACTCTCTGAAGGGGATCTTGCCTGGGAGGCCATTGCGCTTCACATGCTTAGCCCGCCCTGGCCCCGGCCTCAGCCCTAGTCCCAGCCCCGGTCCCGGCCCCGGCACCGTCACTGGCTCCAGCTCCAGCTCCAGCCTCAGCAGCTCAGAAGGGGAAGACCCAAAGATGGAGCCTGAGCTTTGGCAGCCTCTCCTGCAGGGTAAGCTTGTGGGGGAGAGGGAGACAGGAAGCTATGCTCCAGGCTGGGACCCCCACCTTGATACCAGCTTTGTGATGCAGAGAAGGACCCTCTACCCAGCAACAAGAGTCCTGGCCCTCCAACCCCAAGCCCTGGTGAAGGCCCAAGGAGAACAGAGCCCAGGGACCACTTTGGTCTCAGGACAGGTGAGCCTGGGGTCTCCTGAGTGGGCCATGTCCCCAGGAGGATCTCCGTCCAGAGGCTGGGTTGTCTGAGTCCCACCTGTCACTTTGACTCTTGCCAGAAAATTCTCTACTTTTGTCATGCTTGAGTTTTCTGTAAGCTGAGCTGTATCGGAGAGGTGGGGCCATTGAGGCACTTAGGGTTCCAGGAGTGCTAAATGAGTGTGTTTGATTAGAAAACCTAGCAATGAGCTTAATATATATGTTATAATCTGTATGTATAAAAGCGTAAGTGACCGTTGTGACAGGAATGACTAGTCCACCAGTTGCTATGATGCACACTGACTACCAGGGGCAGACGCTCAATGCACACAGACCAGTGGTCAGTGTGCTTCCACAGCTAACCTCCTGCGGAGGCCAATTGCCCCGAGGTCTTTCTCCTCCCCCCCCTCCTCCATGGTTTAGTATTTGCCCCTGGTGCTAAACCATTCCAACAACCTGCTTCTGGGTTGGGGTTTCATAGTAGCAGAGCAGCTCCCTCTGCAATCTATTGAAAGTCAGTCTCACTCCCATCCGTCCTCTCCCTTCCCCAGGGGCCATTTGCCCACAGTGGTGGCAGCAAGGGAAGGAAGAGGGGGGAAATGGAAGGCAGGGAACCGTATGGTCGTGGGGCAGCGTAGGTGTCAGCATCTGGTGACTATTGTCTCCTCTCCCGACCCACCCCTGGCTGGGACCAGGAACTGGGGTGGGTGGTGGCAGATGCAGCCCCTTTCCCAGGGGGGTTGAGGGCTAGTGCCCTCCTTGGAGCCTGTGACCAGCCTCTTGCGGTCCCTCCTTTCCACCCCTCTGCACAAATTTGTGCACCGGACCTCTAGTGTTTTATATATGTAATATGTATGCATTGTATACACTTAATGTGTGGACAGACACACACACACACACACACACACACACACACACACACACACATACACACACACACACACACGCTGTTGTGTGGGCCCAGCCTGTGGATAGTGATATTCTCACTAGGAATGCCTGAGGCGCTCACCCAGCCTTATTTCTCAGTACAAGCCCCAAGGTCATTCCTCCACGTGGGCTAGTGTTCTGGCTTCTTACGATTACAGGACACACTTTAGCAAAACCACCAGAGAACTTTAAGGAGCAGGACTTATCATTCACAGGTCACAGGAGAGAGGAAAGAGCATGAGGGCCTGGTGCTCTGTCTTGGTCACTGTCATGGTGGGCGACTAGGGTTTGGTGGGTTCACTCTTCGTTGGCTAATTTGAAACCTGAGAGTGGGAATCAGGACACAAGAAGGGAGAAACAGGGTCTCTCAGATGGTCAGTTGTCTAGGTCACTGGGGGCTTTCGGAAAGAGGGACCTTCCTGGGGGTGGGGCAGCCTGGCTGCTCACCTGGTTGTTGGCTAGGAGCTGTCACACCCCTCCCGGTATGTTTATGTAAGATGGATGTCTTCTGAAATGGATGCCTCCGCCATCCAAAGCTTAATGTCAGGGTCTTACACCTCATGTAAATAATAAGCATTTTTAAAATTTGGCAATACACATAAAAGTGTCAAAAGTGAGATTCCACCTGGGAGAATTTTGAGGTTGTCCTGCCAGGAAAGCTGGAAACACTGCCTGCTACCCCAGGCCACTACGCTCCTCAGTCCAAGCCCGAACTCGTGTTTGACCAGCAGGAAATGCGGAGGAGAAGACGGGAGGCAGGCCTCAGGTTCCCCGGACAGAAGTGTGCCTGGAGACCCTGGGCCGGCCTAGCCCCCTGGGCAGCACCCAAGGAGGTACGGGTGGGTGATTGGTTGGGGAAGGCACGGGGGCGGGAGGGGAGGAGAACGCTGAGTGGCCCCCAGGAAGTCTTTGGCCTTTCTCAGCTCAGGCTGTCCCCACATTCCTCACTGCCCGGTAGGGTTGGTGGGAAAGAGCACAGTGGGCTGGGCATGGACCATAGTCCCCTGTGGTCCACGGGGTGCCCCCTGCATGTCCCTGGTGGAATCTCACTGGTGGTGGGACCTGCGGATCATGTCGTTTCACCTGCTCTTCCAGCCCCCACCCCCTGCTGGAGCCAGACGTGTCATGGCCAAGCAGCAGAGGACCCCAGGCAGTGCGGTCCCCAGTCCCAGTCACACAGGCCCCAGCAAGCCATTACACCAGAGTTAGGCTCCCTGTGGGCCAACTGAGTCCATCTTGCATCTCATTTCATCAATATTTGAGAGTTGAAAGCTTGATTTTTTTTAAGTCATGTCCAAATATTCCCATGTTAGAATGGCCCTGTCAAAATGATACATGTGCACACCCCAAGTGTTTTGTGCTCTTTCTGCAGGGGCAGCTGGGAGTACCTGCCCTGCCCCTCGGCCAGAGAAAAGGCCCGGGCCGGGGCCCTGCCAGCCTCCTGGGTCACCCGCTCAGCCCCTGTCCTGGAAGCTCAGGGTTAGTGAAGAATCCAGGGGCCTGGTGCCTGGACACAGAGGACCAAGTGTTGCAGGTGAAATGGTGGCCTTCCCATCCCCTCAAGTTGTCCCGCGCAGAAGGGTGGGCATGGGTCTGTACAGCCACCCAACCCCTTCCTGCTGCTCAGCTCCTTCCTGCAGGATCACAGTTTTCTTTTTTCTTTTTTTTAAAATAAATTTTGTTGATGTTTTACAGAGAAGGGAGAGAGATAGTTACATAGAAACATCAATGAGAGAGTCATGGATCAGCTGCCTCTTGCACGCCCCCTGCTGGGGATGTGCCCATATCAAAGGTACATGCCCTTGACCAGAATCGAACCTGGGACCCTTCAGTCCGCAGTCTGACACTCTGATCCACTGAGCCAAACCGGTTTAGGCTCAAAAACTTCTTTAATGTCTCTGTATTCATCATTATTCTAAGGTCATAAGATGGCAGCATATAATTAGATTTTTTTTTCTTTCTTTTTTTTTTTTTTTTTTTAATATATTTTATTGATTTTTTTTTTTTTGCCCCCCTCCCGGGGGAAGTTTTCTTAACACTATTCCGTGATGGTTTGGGTCACAGGTAGGAAGAGTCTCACCTTGAACTCACTTCAGGTTGCTTATTTTATTTTAGCATTTCCTTATAGAAATAACTGGCGTTTTCATAAAAGCATAGATACCTTTCAGAGTCAAAACAGAAATCAAGAATGGATACACCCAGAGTCAAAGTTCGGAGTCTGAGTGGACTTCAGAGAATAGATGAGGAAATGGGCCTAGTCACACTGTGTGATCTGGCCATGGGCATCCTGAGAGAGAGCAGATGTGGTTCCAGATCACACCTGGCCCAGAGGAAGCGCCTCCCTCATCATGTTAAGACATGGGCTGCGTTTCCTGATTCTAGGATTTGCACGGAGAGCCTCACACCAGACTGGAAGTGTGGCCCATGGTGGTTCCATTGCTGGGGCGATGGGTCCTACAGCCACTCCAGCTTCACTCTTTCCTCTGACTGAAGCCCTGGAGGTGCTGATAAGAGGAAGGAGCCAGGATAGGGCTCAGGGGGCTGGGGAACAGCAGGTAACAGGGCTTTCTTGTGAGGTTTGCCTGAGGTGGAGACCAGTTCTAAGAGAGCTTAGGGTGAAAAAAAAGGACTTCAGACCTTCTGAATCTGTGTAACTTGTGAATATGAAAGACAAAAGTTGGGATTGGGGGACCCCTGGTGGTTTGCTTATGACCATTCGCACTGGGTACTGACTGACGCGGGTCCTTGGTCACCCCACTGGAAGCACCAGGTCCCAGGTTGGATTGACTCTCCTGGGCCCTCTTCCAGATGCTGCCTGTGGCCTTGGCCTTATGCTGTCTGCTGAGGCTCCTCCAGGCCTTTGCCTCTGACTCCGTAGGGCATGGTTATTTCATTTTAGTATTTGAAATGCCATGCCCAAAGGGCCATTTGGTCCCAAAGATGGTACAAGAGCCTGTTGATCTCTTTCCTACAAAGTCCTGTGTCCTAAGAAATCTTAGTTACCATGGAGACCCAATCTGTGGTTTGTCCCGTTCATGATTTGGGAATCAGCCTGGGGATGTGGCCCCTGCTGATGTTACGAACATTGTCATCGATGTTCTCAAACCTGCGTCACTTCCTTCCCATCTAAAGGCAGGCCGTAGTGGGGCAGGATGCTGCATACACTGGTCCAGGGGACGGCTAGCAAGAGAGAGAGGTTCTGATAGCCTGAGAACTCTCACTCTGCATTCCTGCTCTGGTTTCAGCAGGGACTGAGGGGAGGCCACTTACCCGAGGCCTGCCTGCACCGCCTCCCCTGGCTCCCGACCCGCCTGCTGTGCCACCTGCCTCCCCACGGCCACCGTGTCCCTGTGGGAGTTCTCTGCAGCAGGAGCTCCGCAGCCTCAGTGCCACCCTCTCGGAGAAGCTGGATCAGCTCGCCTCTGCCCTGGCAGGCCTGTCTCAGGAAGTGGCCACCATGAGGACCCAAATGGATCGGCTAGGAAGGTGCCCTAGGGGCCCTGGAGCAAAGGGCCAGGCTTCCTGGCGGTGGGCGCTCCCCCGGAGACCTCACTGGGCTCATGGCCCTGCTCGCAGACGCCTGCTCTACTGGAGACAGAAGGGCCCTGCCAGGCCAAAGCCAAAGATCCTCCGTGGCCAGACGGAAGGCTGCAGGGCTGGCGAGGCCTCAGGCCTCTCCCTTGGGACGCTCCACCTGGTGCCTCAGCTGCCTCCAGGTGCCCCCCAGGCAGAACCTTCTGGAACCAGCTCCAGCCCTTCCCAGCACCCACCATCCTCAGCATGCAGCCGTGCTGTGCTCACTGTGCACCCCCGGCTTGGACACATTGGGGGCCCCCAGACTCCCCCCGCCCCTTCAGTGCCTGCTGCCTTCCCCCCACAGATGGCCTCTCCTGCCACCAGTGCAGATGCAGAGCCACCAGCTGCAGCAGCTGCTCCCACTGGGCCCCGAAACTGGCCCAAGGACCCAAACAGCTTATTGGCGGGAGTCCAGAGAGGCCTTGAGGAGGAACTCTGGGACGGCGGAGATCATAGGGACCCAAGGTGGGAGGCCTCAAACCACCTTCATCAGCTCCGCCCTGAGGACGCCCTGCCCCTGGCTGCCTCTCCTAGGGGCCAGTCAGCCCCTGCACATCTTTCAAACCAAACTTTCCCCATCTCTGGGCTGTGAAGAGCTAGGCATCTCTCTTGGCTTGACTGCCCCAGACTCTAGGATATGTTTGCTCGGGGTGGGGGTGGGGGGGCTATTGCTTGGGATGCATTCCTCAGCCTCTGTCCTTGGCTCAGGTTCATTCAGATGTTGCTCCCTCCCGTCTTTGCCATCATAACTGCCACAGCTCACAGGCAGATGGTGGCATATGCACCTGTGCACAGCACATGTGCCCGGGGCGCTCCAAATGGCTGTCCTTCCCACACTCAGTGGCTCTCCCTTTCCTGCTAAGTACGCAGAGATTTCATTTGGAGAGAATGCCACTTCTTGGTCTAAGTTAGATTCTAAAATTACAAAGTTAATTGCTAAGGGAAAGGCCCTTGGTGCCTACAGAAAGGGGCTGGGTGGTCCACACCAGGGCGTGGTTGACTGATGTGTATCAGTCCTGGGACAAGTGAGCTTGGCCGAGAATACTTGTCCCCAGACCAGTCTAGGTGGTCCATGTCCAATCAGAACCTACAGGAAGTTAAAATATTTTTGTATGTGTGGAAAATAAGTAATAAAGTGAATGTTAAGATGCTTCATCATCTGCAGTTACATTTGTCCCACAGGTCCACTGCCTTCCCAGAACCCTTCAGTTCACTGAAAGTCTAGAATCTACGTTGGTGAAAAATCTGTGCGCAGTTCAGGATTTGGGAGTGTGTTCAACACTTTCCACCTACTTTATGGGGAAATGTCACTTTGGTAGGAGAAACTGGGGAGCCTTTTTTAACTCAGGAATTCCAGAGGTCTGGAGGTGGGGGGGGGGGCACAGAAGGCTCTTGCTTGGCCTGTCACCATCCTGGCAAGTAGCCTAGAAGATGGCTCCTGGCTGACCTGGGTTTGAACTTCCCTCCATCCTTGTTCCATCATGAGTCCACTGTAAGGCAGGAAGGGGAAGGTCCTATTTCAACCTGTCGGAATCAGAGTGGGACCCCCAGGGGCTCCAGGCTAGCCCAGAGGGGTGCCATGGAAGAGAAGCTGCAGTGAGGGTGCCACAGTCTTCTGCCTGTGACGCTCCATGTCATTGCTGCCTCCGTAAGGAGCTTGGTTCAGTGGCAGACTAGACTTGATTCAACTGTGTATGTCTTTGTGTTTTAGATGTGGCTTCTGTAAACAGCCTATAGTCGGATTTTATTTTTTAATCCAACTTGACAAGCTCCTTGTTCCTTCATTGGAGCCCTGGATCCATTTACCTGTAATAAAATTTCTAACATTTGAATATGCCATTATTTTCTCATGTTTGTCCCACTTGTTCTGGAGATTTCCCCCTTTGTTTCTGCCTTCTGTTGTGTCGACAATTCTGTGGGTTGGTTTTGTTTGTTTTTATACATTCCATTTCCCTCTGCTGGCCTCAATGTGTAAAGAACTTAAAGGCATGAAAATCCAAAAGGAGGAGGAAAGAAATCATTATTACTGGTATGACCATACACATAAGACAGCTGAAAGGAATCTGTAATCTATCAAAATAAGAAATTTTTAAATAAAAATGTATAACTGCCATTTATGGTAAAAATATTCAATAATCTAGGAATAAATCAAAATATTTATATAGAGAAAACTATTGAACACTTTAATAGTTTCTTTCACTCCTTATTTCTCATAACAGTTAAGGTAAATGTTAATACTATTATAATTCTTATTTTACAAATGAGGAAAGTGAAGCACAGAGAGGATGATAAGCTTGCTCCAGGTCACACAGCCTGTAGGGGGTTGAACTGCACTTGAGATGGGGCAGTTGGCTTCAGAGCAAAGTGAGACCCTTAAACACGCAGGGCAAGAGGACATTGACAGCTGCATCCTCAGAGTAGGGTGTGCAGTCTGAGGCAGAAAAAAAAATTATTTTTAAATGTACTTACCTGCAACAATCACTTGTAAGCTCTGAGTAAGGGCAGATACATATTGTATCTGTGCACCAAACACTGGGTCAGGCACAGAGGGGCTTCCAAGAAGTATGAACTGAGTATCTGAATGAATGGTGCATTTATTTGGGTTTGAGACACTAAAGAGTGAGTGAGGCTGTTTGAATAAATGTACTGAGATTTCCCAAGTGTTCATAGAACCCTCGGAGTCTTATTGAAACTGTGTGCATTGACCTCTGGGGCTCAGCACTGTGCCTGTTTCTCTTGGGTTAAGTTAATAGGCTGCCCAGACATTACTACAGGAAGGAAGTTAAAAAACTGTTCTTTCTTATTCTCGAGCATCTGTGTCTGCCCAGCATGTCCTCAGACACTCCATCCTTTCCATTTTAAATGTTTCTGGCTGGGTGGTAACCTGAACCTGGACTTTCAGGATGGACCAGACCCTAGAGCCGTGGTCCTCATCCCTGGGTGCACATTGGGATCACTTGGGGCAAGTTTTGAAAATGAGGTTAGGGCCCCATTTATGCAGATTCTAATCCAATTGGAGTGGAGAGCATTGGCGTCTGCCATCCGTCTATATCCATCCATTCATCCATCCATCTTTATATCTACCTATCTGGACACATATAAACTCTTTGTTGAAATATAACAAATATACAGAAAAGTGCACATGCCTATTGGTATATTTTTACATTTCCAGAAGATTCTAATGTGTTGTGAACCATTCTTGTTGGCAAAACTGTAGAACAAACAATGGGCCTTTCCTACTGTTTCCCTTCAAACTTTCTCTCTACTTACCACAAAGAGCTTCTGCATCGACCCACACCTGGCAGCATCGCATGTATTTATTTAATTCCGAATTGACACACAGAGTGTCATTGCTGTGCCTGGAGCCCCAGGTGGGCCCATGCACCTTCATCAGGTACCAGAAGTTCGCTGTAATGAGTGGGACAGGGAGAGGGACGACAGACCCCTTAAGAAAGGGAGGTGGGGGCCTCAGCGGAGGGAGTGGCGGGTGAGGGGTGGAGGCCCCCTCCCGGTGGGGGTCAGTGTCCCTTGGTTGAATGAGGCCAATTTCTGGTCAGCCCCGGTCATGAGCTGCCAGATCTTCTGACTTCTCGTGAGAAGCTAGAAGTCTAGATTTTCATGTGAAATATCCAAGTATGTAAAATGCTGCTGTGGCAACGCAGTGGCCCCTATTAGTAGCCACGCTGTCATATTTACTGTGACCTCCTGCTCCTACGCGTGGCCAGGAAACTTAAAACTCGATGCATTCAACCCCCCCTTTCCTTCTCCCTTGCCCCTCATCAACATCAGTCATCTTATTGCAACGAGAAAGCAGAGGCCCAGGACAATGAATGTGCTGCTCCGAGTCTACAAGAGGCACAGGCAGGGTCAAACCCAAGACTCCTCACTGCAGGTTCATCTTGTTCCCATCACCCTACCCCTTCCCTTTACTGACAGTCAGCTGGCTCTCCGAGCTGCCTGGCTGGGGAGGCACAGCTACAGAGACGTCTGGATAAAGACAGAACTTAAAAGTATGATGGGAAAGCTAAAACCAGTTTGGCTCAGTGGATAGAGCGTCGGCCTCCAGACTAAAAGGTCCCAGGTTCGATTCCGGTCAAGGGCATGTACCTTGGTTGCGGGCACATCCCCAGTGGGGGGCGTGCAAGAGCAGCTGATAAATGATTCTCTCATCAATGTTTCTGACCCTATTCCTCTCTTTCTCTCTGTAAAAAATCAATAAAATATGTATTTTTAAAAAGAATGATGGAAAAGAAATTTCATATACCATTAAGGTCCTTCCTCATGGGGCCAGGCAGAGTGGAAGGTGGGACTGCCTTTCTGAGAGCCCCTTGGGAGAGCTGCAGACAGAGCAGAAGTTCCAGAGCTCCAGAGACCAGGGTTACGTGTCTCCATGGGAACAGCCCGGCCAAAGGGCTCCTGCCCCTTCTCTGTGTATTCCCCATGTCCCAGCCTTCAGCACCTGGCGTGGGAAATCTATGCTGTTTCTTCCTCTTCAAACTTCTGAGCTACGGTAGAAGCAGGGGAGTGGTTTGGAAATTAGCTGTGTTATATTTTGATTTGGTAGAGCGATTACCAGCAGCTGGATACGTGGAGCTCACCTAGGGTAAGTGAAGAAAGGTCTCCTGTGTGTGGATTAGTCAGGGGTTCCCTCCCCCAGCTCATTTAAAAGCCCTAGAAACTTCAGATTTAAATTTTAATGACACTGCAAGTACTCAGATCACCATTCTCTCTCTCCCCCTGTAGAGATTCCCGCCTCGGCCAGGGGTGGTGCAGGAAACTCCAGTTTTCCAGGGCTTCCCTCAGTGGGGCCTTCCGAGGACTCAGGCATTAATTATTCCTACCTAGGGTTCGCTCAGCACTGTCTTTGTCACAGAATGTGAAAGCCGGTTCTCCTTTCCAGCCGCCTCACCAGCAAGACGGAAAGGGAAGAAAAACGCTGGCAGGATTCTAGGTCATCCTGCCACAGTGCTCACCCGACTGGACTTGGGTCTCTCCAACAAGGAAGCAAGAGAAGGCCACGGAAGGGCCTGGACAAGAAGAAGGAGGCTCAGAAGAACAGTGGGGGCGCTGCCACCTCGGTGGGCGTGGGCCAGGCCGGGGCCGGGAGGTCGGAGTCGGAGGCCAGGCGGGCGGCCTCGCCGCCGTGGACACGCTGGTGCCGCACCAGGTGCGTCTTGCGGCTGAAGCTCTTGCCGCACTGGGCGCAGGCGAAGGGGCGAGCGCCCGTGTGGATGGCCTGGTGGCGGGCCAGGTTGGTCTTGGAGCTGAAGCTGCGGGCGCAGACGGTGCACGCGTGGGGCCGACTGCCCGTGTGCACCGCCTGGTGGCGGCCCAGGTGGGACTTGCGGCTGAAGCGGCGGCCGCACTGAGCGCAGGCGAAGGGCCGGGCGCCGCTGTGGGCCCTGCAATGGGCCACCAGGTTGGGCCGCGAGCCGAAGCGGCGGCCGCACTGCGCGCAGGGGAAGGGGCGCTCGCCCGTGTGCACCCTCCGATGCCGCGCCAGGTGCTGCCCGTGGGCGAAGCCCCGTCCACAGTCCGGGCAGGAAAAGGACCGCTCGCCGCCGCCGGCGGGATCGCCCTGGGGCGCCTGGGCGCAGCAATGCCCGCAGGCCGGGGGTTCCGCAGCGCAAGCCAGGGGTTCTGCGGCACCGCCCGGCGCGCCCTCGCCACAGCCACAGGGGCGCCCCTCGCCGGCATGCAGATGCTGGTGCGCGGCGAGGTTCTTCTTCCAGCCGAAGCTCAGTCCGCAATCGGCGCAGACGAAAGGCTCGGGTCCCGGCGGGGACGGGGCCAGGGTCTGGGCGGGAGGAGAACCCGGAGAGGCGGGCACCTCGGCGGGAGCCAGCGGGGCGCGGCGGGCCGCCTCGTGCACCCTCTGGTGCCGCGCCAGGTGCTGCTTGTGCGTGAAGCCGCGGGCGCAGCGCGCGCACCGATAGGGCCGCTCGCCCGTGTGGATGCGCTGGTGGCGGACCAGGTGCGTCTTCTTGCGGAAGCGCTTCCCGCACTCGGCGCAGGGGAAGGGCCGCTCGCCCGTGTGCGTCTTCTGGTGCGAGCCCAGGTGGATCTTCTGGCTGAAGCGCTTGCCGCACTCGGCGCACGGGTAGGGCCGCTCGCCCGTGTGCGTGCGCAGGTGGCGGGTGAGGTGCGCCTTCTTGCCGAAGCGCTTGCCGCACTCGGGGCACGGGAAGGGCCGCTCGCCGCGGTGGCTGCGCTGGTGCAGCAGCAGGTGCGCTCGCTGCGCGAAGCTGCGGCCGCAGTCCGGGCAGGCGGCCGGGCCCTCGCCGCGGTGCAGCCTCTGGTGCAGCCCCAGGGTCAGCAGGTCCCTGAACCGTCGCTCGCACTCGGTGCAGCCGTAGGGTTTCTCCGAGGCTGGAGTCCAACCGGCCAGCAGTGAGAGCCCGCCCAGGGTCCCCGGGATGCCCGGCTCCAGCTTGTAGGCGGCGGCGGCCAGAGGCCCCAGGTCAGGTGCGGGAAAGGGGCCGCCGGGCAGTAAGGACAGATGCTGGGGCCATTCGACTTTGGCCTCTGCCTCCTGGTCCTCCTCCTCCACCTTCACCTTCCGAGTCATCCACGCCTCTCCTGAAAAGTCACAACAAGACAAGTCTCTTAAGCCCCACGTGTATTTATGCAACGTTCCCCTGCCAGGAGACCACCCCTTCCTGGAGCCCCACATTCTGGCTTCTGTTCTGTCCACTGGGGAATGGCCAATCGGAATAGCTTCTCCTCTCTGCAGACAGGACGCCTGGTAACTGGCCTTCACCCCCCCCCCCATCTCCACTGCTTACAGGGGGCTTTCTCCCAGGCTTGCACATGTCGATAAGAGCGCTGATAAGAGCACTTTCCCTGCCTCTGAACATGAATGTTGTTCAAGTTTCAGACCTCAGGAGTCACTCTGGGTTCCTATGCCCGGGGCTGCAGTCCCAGATCTTCCTGTTTGGCAGGCTCCTTTCTGGAACCACAGTCGCTCAGCTTCGGTTGAGCAGCTCCCCTCCTGAGTCCTGAAAATTGGCTGTAGCTCCAAACAGCTTCTCTTTCCAGACCTACCTGCTTACTTTGCTGTGAGAACTGCAGCTTCCTTCTCCCCAATGCTGGGTTCAGAACCTTGAGGCCCTGACTCTCACCTTTGAGCTTCCCCTACTCTCAGACTTCCCTCAGTGGACTTTGTATTCTTTCCTGCTGTCTCTGAAGCCCCTTTCCCTGCAACTCCCTTCAGACTTGCTTCTACAGCCAGGTGGGAAGTCCCAGTTTAGAAAGAGGTTTGTGTGTACAGGGAACCACTGGATGGCGCTAACATCTGGAGAAGCAGGAGGGTCTCTTGGGGAGCAGATTTGAGATGGGTTTTCCTGGAGCTTGGCCCCTCTTGGGAAATGGAATGGCCCAGTGGAGAGGAAGGAGCTGAAGGCCCAAGACCCAGTGTCCCTTTGGGTTCTCCTCTGCCATTAACCAGCAATGTAACCCTGGTTAACTTACCTCTTTGAGCTAAGTTTGTTTGTTTGCTTTGGTGGAAGGGTTGGACTATTATAGTTCATAGTTCCTAAACCTGGTGCCACATCGTAATCTCTTGGGGAACGTTTACAGAATGCATCGATGGGAGCAGAGCACACGGATCTGTTCTCTTTCAAGCTCCCAAAGTGATTCTTATTGGAGAACCATTGAACCAGATGATCCGAGTTCCTGTCTCGTTCTAAAAGTCTGTAATAGCCTGAGCCTTGGTTACGTTACACATGGACTGTCACAATTACATTCATTCCCAGTCTCTTTTATTGACCCATCCATTCCAAACAACTGCTTTTCCTGTTGTGATATTGCTTTCTTTTTTATTGTGCCACTCTTCTCCTCAAGAACCAGCAGTAGCTCCCTATTAATGGGATAAAGTAAGTTCTAGCTGCATCTGAGGTACAACTTTCTTCTCCCAGGTATAAGCCCTTTACTGTAGCCAGGCTGGTCTGCTCTAACTCTAGTCACACGTTAACTTTCTAGTCTTGAAGTCTTTTCACAGTCTAGAATGTTTCCCATCCTCCACCCACCCTCATTGGAGCTGAAGGCTATACCTTTCTCAAAATGCAGCACAAATCAAAATCTCCAACAACTCCACTGCGTGAGGATCCCAAATAAATGCTTGTAGCACTTACTGTTAATGCTCATTGTGACAAGCCTGTATTATTATGTTCATTCTTTTTTTAAAAATATATTTTATTGACTTTTTACAGAGAGGAAGAGAGAGGGATAGAGAATTAGAAACATCGATGAGAGAGAATCACCGATCAGCTGCCTCTTGCACACCTCCTACTGGGGAAATTCTTTTTAAAAAAATATATTTTATTGACTTTTTACAGAGAGGAAGAGAGAGGGATAGAGAATTAGAAACATTGATGAGAGAGAATCACCGATCAGCTGCCTCTTGCACACCTCCTACTGGGGATGTACCCGCAACCAACATACATGCCCTTGACCGGAATCGAACCCGGGACCTTTCAGTCTGCAGGCTGATGCTCTATCCACTGAGCCAAACCTGTTTCGGCTATTATGTTCATTCTTTATTCTAATTCATATTAATGTCAACTAGGTTTAAGCTTCTGGAGGGCAGACACCTTGTGTTCTATTTCCTATGTATCTAATAAAAATGTGTCTTTATCTGAGTAATAAAAATGAGGATGGCCACCATTTATTGAATGCCAATTATAGATGTACTATGTATGCATGATCACAAGCCTTCACAACAAACATGAAATCACCCTGCTTACAGATGAACAAATTGAGGCTCCTGGAGGGGAGAGAGCCAGTCCAAGATTACTCAGCGAGGGGATGTGGAACAAGGATTCAAACAGGTCTGCATCGCTTTAGAGCTTGCCTCTTTCCTCTTTACCTAACAGCCTAGACCTGGTAGACATGGAATAAATCCTTGTGGAATAAATGACATCACTTGGGCAAATGATGATAAGGTTGGTGCTAGTGGAAGCAGGATTGTAGAGAGAGAATCAACTGTCCCATCGCCCTGGGTATGGGGAAGATGAGTCAAACACAGCAGATTTGGAGCATTTGGGTACCACTGAGATCAGTGGAGATGTGGGGGAGGGAGCATGTCTGGGCAGAGACAATGAAAAAGTTGATCAACGCTCCATATGTTTTCATGGAAATTATAATTCAGGCCCTCTACAAGTCTGTACTTAGACTGGGGCAGAGATGGGGGAAGTCAGGACTTCTAGAGTACATTGACAGGATGGTGTGTTTCTCTTGGATCGGCCTCTCTGATCCCTGTTGTCCATGGATGCAGAATTCCCTCTGGGTGCGGAAGCCCTATGAGCAGTGCCAGGGCCTGATTCATCTTGTGTTGGAAGAGCCTGGCGTGGCTGCCACATCAGATAGCAGCTCTGGAGCTTGCAGGGCCCCTGTGCCCTCCACCTGGTCCCCTGCTCATGGGAGACTCACCTGGGCAGGAGCCCACAGGCTCAGCCTCCCGTGGGGTGTGTGCCTGGCTCCCTCTGCAGGGAGCCTCAGCCTGTTCAGGATGGGCATCTTCCTTCAGGCTGGGGGCCTTGTGCCCTGGCAGAGAACAAGCCATTCAAGCCACTGCTGACATCACAGCTGGACAGAGAGAGCCCCCCCCCCCCCATGCGAGGAAGCAGGGGAGGGTAAAACCCTAGGCCCAGCCCTATAGGCGGGGACTGCACCCAGCCTGTCTCACACCTGCAGGGGCTGAGTTCACAGAGGCCATGAGCAGCCTCAGGCTCCTTCAAGCAGGGCAGCTGCTTAGGCGCTGCGTGGTGGCTAAAGCCACAGCGGTGAGGAGTTTTTGGAACATGTGTGTGTGTGCAAGTACAGGCCCTGCCCTTCAGCTTACTTAAGGCTTTGTGAGGTTCCTCAGAGGAGAGCTGGGACCTCCCTGCCACCAGGTGGACCCTGTTACATGGCAAATCATTGGAGATGATAGTGATGTCAAAAAGCCAGGCATTGCTGAAACCAGTTTGGCTCAGTGGACAGAGGGTCGGCCTGCAGACTGAAAGGTCCTGGGTTCGATTCAGGTCAAGGGCATGTACCTTGGTTGTGCGCACATCCCCAGTGGGGGTGTGCAGGAGGCAGCTGGTTGATGTTTCTTTCTCATCTATATTTCTGACTCTCTATTCCTCTCCTTCCTCTCTGTGAAAAATCAATAGTATATATATATATATATATTTAAAGCCGGGCACACTTTCTTAGGTGTCCTCTCTTGGTACCTGTTTAGCCACTTCCCTGTTTCAAATCTTGCTCAAATTTTAGCTTTCCAAGGAGGCCTATTCTCACCACCTATTTAGGCTTTTTCTGCTCCACCCACCTATAGCAGTCTCAGTTCTCCCCACTCTGCTTTATCCCCTCCTAGCATACATCCTCTCCTAACAGGATTATAAGTGTGCTTGTTTTTACGTTGGTGGGACTCCCTGCCCTCACTAGGATTAGGCTCCTGGAAGGTAGGGGTCTTTGTCTCTTTGGTCACTGAGGTATGGAATGGCACTTGGCATTAAGCAGGTGCTCAATATGTATGTGGTGAAGGAAGATGGAGGATGATCCCCCACCCCCACCCCCACCCCCAGCCACCATCCCGGATCCCTACTCACTTACCGGAACATGTAGAGGAGCCCAGCGCTCTGTCTTCCCTGGGAGGGCACATTTGCTCCTGGGCATTCTGGGACCCTTCCCCAGGCTCGCTTTGGGGGGCCATCTCCGGCTGTCCCACAGAGAATCCTGTCACAGGTAGAAGGATGGGTCCAAGTAAGCATCCAGTAGAGAGAGGCGACCAAAGGCAGGCTCTTCTCCCCCCTCCCCCCAGCCCACCTGAGGGACCTTTCCCAACCTGCTCCAGAGGGAGGGTCCCTAGTCAGCAGGGGCAAGGGTTAGCCAGGCTCCCAGCAGTCTGGCCAGGTGTCAGCCTGAGCCCCTTGGTGTTGAGTAAAGCACAGTTGAGGGAAGGATACAGTGGATTTAACATCCTGATGCTCTGTGAGCACACATGTGCACGTACAGTCTAGCACAACCTCCGGCGTAGGCAGGGATTCACAGACGCCCTGAAGAAACCCCGAAGGACACTGCCCTAAAGTCCCAGGGGCCTCGGGAGTCTTGAGGTTGCAGTCTCTGAGGATGGGTCTCCTTTCTTCATTGTAGAGAAGCTACAAGCCCGGCAGGTTTCTGAACCCCCAACCCCACCCCGGTCCCTCCCAGGTTCTGCCGGCTCACCCAGGGAGCTGAGGGCCTCCAAGGTCTCTCTCATGGCAACCCCAGGCGGCTTCTTCTGGGGCTCGGGCCACACACCCTAAGGAGAAAACACATCCTTGCTCACATTCTTCTCATGGCAGCTTCTACCCGGGCCCTGGCTCTGCCCAACCTCTGCCCATCAGCTGTCCCCAGGAGCTGCACATGTGATGTCCCCAGCCAGGTACAGGTGAGGGGAAGCAGGGGAGGTGGGTTTCAGACAGTAGAGAGATCTTTACAGGGGGCCCAAGCAGGAGATCTTGAAGCCATGGCTGCAAGCTCTGGCCAGTTCCAGAAGTCACAGCACCCCCTCACGGGGGGGGGGGGGGGTGTCTCTCAAGGCCAGCCTCAGCCCCTCAGCGATCCAGCCTCGGGAGCAGGGTGTCAGAGACAAGTGGATTCTCTGGGTAGAGAGTGGAGGGGGGATGGTGGGAGACCAGACTGGGGAGCAGGAACACACCCCCTCGCCCTCCAGCTGTCACCGCGGAGCTGGTGGAATCGGAGCCAGCGGAGGGGCGGAGGTGTCACATCGGACAGCTGGGGGGGGGGGGGGGAGGCCCTCGAGGAGGGTCCCCGGTGAAGGCAGGAAATGGCTCTTGCTTCCTCTCCCAAAACCCTACCTCAAACCATTGCCCCTCCCCCCCAGGGTTCCCCTACCCCCCCCAGGGCCACCTCGCCCTAGGGCCCCCAGCCCCGCCCCTCCCCTCCCAGCAGACTGCCCTCCCCCCAAATCTTTCTGGCAGCCTTCCCTCTCCCCTCCCTTCTCCGGTTCCCTCTGCCTTCCGCCCTCTCTCCCCACTGAATCTGGCTGGCTCCCCAGCTCCACCCCCCGCCGTGCCCCTCCGGCTCCTCCCCCTGCACACAGCCTGAGGGCCCACCCTCCCCGCCCCTCCTCCGCCCAGCGACCCTCCACTCCCCCTTCCTCTTCCCTCCCTTCCCCCCGGCCGCCGTTCCCTCCCCTCCGGCTCTCCCCGCTCCATCCCCCTCCCCGGTGCACACCCTCTCCCTTCCTCTCCCTCCCCTTTCCTTCCTCCCCACACAGCCCTTCCCCGCCGCTCTCCGCCTCCCCTCCTCCCCCACTCTGCCTCCCTTCCTTCTCCTTCCCTCTCTTCACCTCAGGTCCCTCCCTCCCCCTGTCTCCCCAGCCCCCTCCCCGTCTCCCCATCCCCGCTCCTCCCCCTCCCCTCCTCCCCTCCCTCCCGCGGCTCTCCTTCCTTTCCGAGGCCCCTGGCTTCCCTCCCCCTCCGCCTCCCCAGCAGCTCTCGCTTCCCCTCCCTCCCCAGCCCCGCTCTGCCCCTCCCCTCCCCCCTCCCCTCCCCCTCCCGCCCAGCCCCCAAGTCACCCCGTGCCCCCCGCCCCCAGCCCCGTCCCTGGCCACTCACTCCGGACCCTCTGCGCGCCGCGCCCTGCCCACCGCGGTCTCCAGCACACCTCCGGCTCCCCTCCCCTCCCCTCCCCTCCCTTCAGAGGCTCCCTTCCCCACGTCTGCACCCCGAGGACTTCTCCACCCGCCCCCCCCAAGTTTGCCTCCCGTCCCACCTCCCTGCTTCCCTCAGCACCCCGACCTGCCTCCGTGTCCCCACTTCTCCCCAGTCCCCGGCTCACCTGTCAGCTCCCTCCTGCCCCTCCCACCCGATCCCGGAGCCGGGCTTTCCTCCCCCGCCCCCTCCCTCCCTCCCTCTCCCTCTTAGGACCCTCCCCACGCCTCCCCTCGGAGCCCTGCACCCCTGCCCACCTGAGTCCCCCCCGCCCCGCCCCTCTCCTGGCCCCAGCCTTCTCTCAGGGTCCGTCCCTTCTCAGGACCACCGGACCCCCCGGACAAGTCCTCCCCCAGCCCCCTCCCTGCCCTTCCATCCCTCCCCACCCCTCCGCGCCCTCACCGGGCTGTCACCTGCGGGGGAAGGGGGGCGGGAGCGGGGAAGGGGGATTTGGAGCGCCTCCGGGGCTGGTACCTGGCGGCCCGCGGGCCGGCCCCCCGCTGCTGCCCGGACCCCGGCGTCCCGGCCTCCGGTCCCGGACGGCTCTGCTCCCAATGGCGTCCGCTGCCAGCAGCTCCGGTGCGGACTGACAGACTGACAGACTGACAGCCCCGAAACTTGGCGGGGAGGGGAGGGGAGAGGAAAAGACGGGGGGGGGGGGGAGGAGGCGCCGCCGGCAGGGAAGGAGGCGAGGGCGCTGCGGGGGCGGGGGACCCCGGCGGGAGGCGGGCGGGGTGTCCCGGAGTGAGGTCTGGGGCAGCGGCGGCGGCAGGTGAAGGTGGAGGGACTGGGCTGGAGTGGGTGCTGGGAATGGGGAGCTTCGGAGAGGGGAAGGGGAGAGGGGGAGGGGAAGGAGGAGGGGAGGAAAGGGGAGAGGGGGAGGAGAAGGGAGGAGGGGAGGGAAGGGGAGAGGAGAAGGAGGAGGGAGAGGAGAGGGAGGACGGGCGTTCGGGCTGCCGGGGAGGGCGCCGGCGGGCGCCGGGGCGGAGCCAGGGGAAAGGTGGAGCTGGGGCGGGGGTTGGGGGCGGGTGAGGAGTTGGGGGGACGGGGAGGGGGGGGGTCAGGGTTCGCTGAGTTGCGAGTGCCCGCGGGGGCGGGGGGGGGGTCTACCCCGCGGCTCCGTGGCGGGATCCAGCCTCCGCTCTGGGTCGGTGCGGTCCCCTCCCCTCCCCGCTCTCAGCCCCGACCCCACCGGGATCAGCCCCGACCCGCACCCTGCGTCCTAGGTCTGAAGCTGGTCCCTGTGGGCCGCGGAGCGAGGCCGGGGTAGCCAGGCCGCCCCCCCCACCCCCTGTCTGCTAAGAATAGGCCCCCAGTAGGAATCGGGTGGGGGCTCTGAGTCCAGTCCCTGGAAAGAAGGCGGGGCTGGAGGGAGGGACCCAGGGGCGGGGACCGAGGGCGGGCCCAGGTGAGGGGCTGGGGAGGGCGGTCCCTGGTCGGGGAGGGGGGCTCTCTCACAGCTCCCTAAGCTCTCCCAGGCCGGTGGCTCTCAGCCCTCCAGTCCGGCTTCTCTCCGTCCCTGTCCGGGGTTAGATGTTTCTCTCCCGCGTTACCACCGGGCACCTGTGAGCGCCCATATCCTGTCTGAACTGGCTGGTGGGCTGGTGATTCCAGGCCCCTCTCCCCAATCTCTTCCTCCGGTCTCCCCCGTCCCAGCTTCCTCCCTCCTGCCCCCTTTAGGGGAAAGGGCGCCGAAGGCTCCAGTTGCTCCCAGTCCAAGTGCTGCCGCATCTGCGATGGTTGAATCCAGAGCTGGGGCCGGGTGGATGGCCCTGGGAGAGCGGAGCAGGGAGCCCTGGCATACCGCATCCCGAGGGGCACACGGCGGGGTGCCATCAGTATCCGCTGACGTTTAGGGCGGGAGGGAGATACACTGGGTGGAACAGGTGGTACCTGGAAGAGGGGGCAGGGTGTTCCTAGGAATCGTCTGTGAAAAGCTTTTCTGCCTCTGGGACGGGCTTCTCCTGGCCATGGGCGAGGAGAACGTGTTGCTGTGTGCTGGGGGTGGGACTGTGTGTCTCCCCGCGAGGCCTGCAGTGGAAGTGTGGAGTGTGCGGGAGAGTGTCCGTGTGTGTGTGTGTGTGTGTGTGTGTGTGTGTGTGTGTGTGTGAGAGAGACTGGGAGAGTGTCCTTTCCGAGGACTCCTTTGGGGAGCTCCCTGAGGAACTCACAGCACCCTCTGTTGGTCCCAGGACCAGCCATGGGCCCAGAAGAAATGCCTAGTGAGGGTCTGGTTCTCCAGGTTGGGGGCAGTGGGGAGTGGGGAAGTGGGGGGGGGGAGGGTGGAGACTATGTGGGATGCATGAGGGGCATCAGGTTTAGAGGGTGGAGGCCACATGCCAGCCTGGGTGTCCTCAGAGCTGGTAACCAGGATGCAACCAGGATTCCCCTGGAACACCTGCTGCTGCCCCCTCCCAGCCAGACGGAGGCTGGGATTATTCCATCCGGCTGCCTTGCCCCCGGGCCTCTCTGTCTCCTGCCACCCCCTTCCCCTACTTCCCACCCCAGGCACTCCTCCCTGAGGCTTGCTCTCATCCCCTGGTCCGGGCTTCCTGGTTCTGGACCTCAGGAACCCTAGGAGACTTAGAAGGAAACTAAAGTGGATCCAAGCAGCCATACAGAATCACCCCCAGTGAGAAGTGGGACCACAGCCGAAATCAGTTTGTCTCAGTGGATAGAGCATTGCCTGCAGACTGGAATCGAACCTGGGACCTTTCAGTCTGCAGGCCAATGCCTTGGTTGCGGACACACCCGGGTGTGCAAGAGGCAGCTGATCGATGATTCTCATCAATGTTTCTAGCTCTCTATCCCTCTCTCTTCCTCTCTGTAAAAAATCAATAAAATATATTAAAAAAAAAGAAGTGGGGACCACAGAGGGGAGGGTACAGGTTGTTCCTCTGACCCCACAGCATCCAACCTCCCTGGAAATGGTTCCACCTGCCTACTGAGCCTCACTTCCACAGTTCCTGGTGAGAGAGGCACTGGAGGAGGCAGGAAAGGGAACAGGAGACAATCATGAAGTCAGAATTTTAGGGCATGTCCATCATTTGGTCCTGTAAACATTTTGTGGGGCCATGGCCCCCCTGGGAATCTAATAAAAGTTATGTCCTCAGAAAGATATGTTTGTGCGTGCACACACACACACACACACACACACAATTTCATACCGTACATGCAGCCCCTGAGTCCCATCTGAATATCCCGGGGAGGCCCCTGGAGTGCTTATTGGTGAGGAAATCAAGGCCTAGAGAAGGAGGGGTGGCTTGTCAGAATTCATTTGATTTGTGGTAGGGCCTGGGAGTGTGGAAATATCAGAGGCTCAGAGTGCTTGACTGTGGCTTGGGACACATGCATTCCCCTTCTCCCCCCATTACACACACACACACACACACACACACACACACACACACCACACCACACACACGACAGAAGCAGGAAGGGGACTGTTTCCAGGGAGAGGGAGCCTCTGAGGGGATTGTGAGATGTGCAGGCAGGCCCAATCCAGTTCCAAGCAGCTGGTGCCTGGGGGATGGAGATGAGATAAAGCCTCCCAGGCCAGTGCTCTGAAGCTGGCTGGCCACACTGAGGCTGGGCTGTAGTCCACTGCCCTGGAGGCACGGAGGGGGGGAGGTGCGGGGGGTGGTGGTCCTGGCCCCTCTGCTCACCTGCTGCACACTGCCTCCCATAAGCCCAAGCCTCAGAGCCCCCCAAAGTTGACCTGTGGAAGCACCATGCTGCTCCCTGCCCTCCTCCTTGGGATGGCATGGGCACTTGCTAATGGGTAAGCCGCTTACCCCAGGGACCCTCCCACTAAGGTCCTTTCCCTCCTGCCCCAGGACTGGGACCCTCTGGAGCAGCCGGACCTCCTCCCACCCTCAGCCTCCTCCTCAGGTCACTACCTTCCCTGGGAGTTGGCTCTTTCAGGAAGGGGATCTCAGGACAGGGCTTCTTGGTGACAAGGGGTGGTGGCAGCGGCTCTCTCCTGCCCCATCGTTGGGCATGTGAGCACATGGAGACCATTCCAGTGGAGGAGGAAGTGACCCCATGTCAGGAGGACCTGGTGCCTTGCACCAGCCTCTGCCATTACCGGCGCCTGGGCTGGCGGCTGGCCCTGTCCCAGAGTGGACGTGCAGGCCTCTGTCCACCTACAAGTGAGTGAGGGTTGGGATCTGGGCTGGCTGCTCGGCAGGAGAGAGCGAAGGGGCCACATCCGGAAACTGGGGGCCAGAGGTCGTCTCCAGCTCAGCATAACCCTCTCCCGGGATGATCCAGGGGGCGCTCTCACCCCTTGTGCCCACCGCGTGTGCCAGGACGGCTGCTGGCGCTGCGCGTGGGCTCCGTGCCCTTCGGAGAGCGCAGTGGGCGGGATGGGCGGAGCTCCTCCTCCCGTGGCAGCCCAGGTGGCCGCCCCTCCCGGGGAGGTGAGGGGGGACTAAGGGGGGGGGGAGGAATGGGGTAGGGGGTAGGCAAATCTTACCCAGAGCAGGGCCCTTCGAAGGGCTGCTGAGGGAGAAGTGACCATGCAGGGTGGGGCTATGGCCATACAGGGCCTGCTAAGCCATTTAGTCTGGCCCTGCCAGGGCATTAGAGGTGAGCTAATTAAATGTTTGAACAAACATAGTAGGCTAATTTAAAATATATATATTTTATTGATTTTTTTACAGAGAGGAAGGGAGAGTTAGAGAAATAGAGAGCTAGAAACATCGATGAGAGAGAAACATCGATCAGCTGCCTCTTGCACCCCCCCAACAGGGGATATGCCCGCAACCAAGGTACATGCCCTTGACCGGAATCGAACCTGGGACCTTTCAGTCCCCAGGCCGATGCTCTATCCACTGAGCCAAGCCGGTTTTGGCGAGCAGGCTAATTTTTAAAAAATTAAATTTTTAGGAAAGGGAGAGGAAGAGGGAGAGGAAGAGGGAAAGAAGGAGAGAGAGAGAGAGGGCGAGAGAGAGAGAGAGAGAGAGAGAGAGAGAGAGAGAGAGAGAGAGAGAGAGAAACATCAACGATGAGAGAGAATCATTGATTGGCTGCCCCCTGTACGCCCCCTACTGCAACCCGGGCATGTGCCATTGACGGCTCAGGTGTGTGTCTGACTGGGGGGCACTCCTGAGGCTCCACCCCAAAGTGAGCCCCCTTGGCTGGAGCCCTTGCAGCCTCAGCTGTGGGCTGGGTGTCACCTTCCAGCACCTGGAGCTGCTGCAGCCTCCCCTGCCTGGGGGCAGCTGCCCTCCTGTCCGGCTCCAGAGCTAGCTCTGCTTCCTGCAGGCCTGCCCCATGCAACTGGGAATTGAAGCCCTCAGGCCTCCTCAGCTCCCCCTCCGCCTGGGGGAATATCAAGGGTGGGTTCCCACAAGATTGCTGCACCAGGGAAATGCCCCTGCTCCTGGGACCTCAGTGTCCAGGCTCCTTCTGGGACTCTGGGGGTCAGCCCCTTCTGACGTCACAGCCGCAGGCTTCCAGAAGGCTTGTCAGGAAACCTGTCCCCTGCTCTGCCCTCTTCCTGCCCGAGTGGGGTGAATTGGTAGGATGAAAGAGAGAAAGGCCCTCTACAGTGAGGGTTGTAGTTCCCACCATATCCATACAATTCCAAATTGAGGTGACTTTCCTGCAAGGACTTTCCCCATGGCGTGGCGTCTTCCAGCCTCTGAGGATCCCCAAAGGGAGATTTAGTCCTGCCTGGGGGTTCCATGCACTTACTTCCCGATGCAGGTCTAGATGCTGACGTGGAGGCCCGCTAGGGACACGCCCTGCCTTGCCACTCTGTGCTCTGAGCGAGCTTCCAGTGCCGGCCCGTGAAAAAGCTGGAGTCCTCAGAAATGCGGGCCCCAGGGCTGAAACGCGGTGAGCGCCTTTAGTTCGTTACTGGAGACCTGCTGCCTCGCCAGCTCAGCCCGGCCAGCTCATTTCACTTCCAGAGAACTGCTGTGTCTCAGACCCCAGGGCCCAGCTATCCCTGCATTGGAGAGGCTTCCTATTTTTGCCTCACAAGCAACCAAGCTGAAGGGCATTGGGAATAGAAGGAGCAAGTGCTCTGCCTTTGCCCAAGGTCCTGGACAAGCTGCCAGCCTCCTCACCTACGTGTAATCTTCATGGCAACTCCATGTACCTACCCATCCTGGTATACCCCACCTACCCACCCACCACCCCATGACTGACCGGAACAGCCAGCATTATAACTGACAGGTAGGTGATAGCCACAGAGACCAGGTTGGGGGAACTACAACCCCCACTTTAGAGGGCCTTTCTCTCTTCCATCCTACCTCAGCCTTGCCCGCCCCTCTCCCTGCCCGCGGGATACATCAGAGCATAAGACGTACCAGACTATTGCTTCTCTCCCAAGCCCAGGCGTGCTCAGTGTTTAGCAGGACAGTGTGAAGATTGGCCAATTCCCTCATCCAGGTGTCTGTCAGCCAAGGACTCGGGGTTGGGGGCGGAGGGGAAGAGGATGACCGCCCAGGAATGTCCTCTTTCCAAATATGTGCAAATGAGGTTTATAAAACCACGATTGATTCTCACTGTTTTGCTCTGAATAAAACATTTAGACGCAGGCCTCTGCCCTATAAATTATTTTAGCCAGAACTAGGAACTGGAGAAGCTGATCAAAGCTAAGATCTGGCTGCCGGGAAAGCCCGCCCTTAGCCCATCCATCTCCCCAGCCCCTCTCCCTAAGGATGCGCGCGCGCGCCTGCGCAGCTCGGCCTGCCCGTGCGCTCCCGCGGGCGGCCGGTCCTGGTGCGCATGCTTGGACGCCCACTAAGCCGCCCGGACCCGGGAGCATCTGCAGCCGACCCAGCACCCCGATCCGGGCGTCCCGCGCGCCATGACGGCTCACTCCTTCGCCCTCCCGGTCATCATCTTCACCACGTTCTGGGGCCTCATCGGCATCGCCGGGCCCTGGTTCGTGCCCAAAGGACCCAACCGCGGGTAAGGGACGCGCGGGCCCGGCCTCCCTGCGGACCCCTCCCGGGGCGAGTGCGCGAGCTGCGGCCTGAGGACCATGGATCCCGCTCCTCCTCCTGGGCCTGCGCTTGGCCCGGTGATGAGCCGGGGAGAGGCAGAGAGGGTCGTGGAGGAAGGCGGAGAGCCGGCTGTCGCGGGAGGTGCTGGAGGGTCACCTCCTTTGGCCACTCACACTGTGGCTAGCACCGGCTGTGACCTTGAGCGAATGTTACCGTTCAAGCCTCCCTTTCTTCATAGGAAAAATGGGGATGATGATGACGGATGACGGCCTTCTTCTTTTTTTTTTTTTTTTTTTTTTTTTTAAATCCTTACCCGAGGACATATTTCCATACACACACACACACACACACACACACACACGAGAGAGAGAGAGAGAGAGAGAGAGAGAGAGAGAGAGAGAGAGAGAGAGAGAGATGATGTGGGAAACATGGATTGATTGCCTCCCCTATCGCCCCTATGCGGGACTGAACCAGCATCTTAGATATGTACCCTGAGGGGAATCCAACCAGCAGCCTGGAGGTGTATGGGAGGACGCTCCAACACTGAAGCCACCTGGCCAGGGCCATGGCTGCCTTTTAAAGTTGCTGTGAGGATCACAGAAAATAACGCTTATAAAACTCCTAACGATGCATCCCTGTATTATGTATTGAATGTTTTGGTCGGTATCATTGGCCTGTGAAGGTTCCAGAGCAGATTTTGGTGCCTGTTACACCATTCACCAGTTTCTGCTTCATGTTGTTGTCAGTTATAAAGCACTGTCTCCCCCTGATTACACGTCCTTTCATGCTCCAGTTGGGCTGCTTGGCCACCGTAGACCCCATTCCCAGTACAGGACTGTGCTTGATAATGTTAAAAGAATGGATCAGGTGCTAATTTCTCTGGTGCAGACTTCAAGTGCTTTGGGTCAGAGGTCATAGGGTCTGGTTTGGATTCAGTTTAGCTCTGGCTGGAGTTTTGGACACGTGGATGTTGCCTCTGTTTTCCAAGATCTGCAGGGCTGAGGACCCACAGCTTCTTAGCATCGCACCTCTCCTGCTAACCTCGGTGAGATTTTCCTTCTGACGGGAGTCTCCCCCGCTGCATTATAAGCTTCTGTCTTCAGTGGTCTGAGTGGACACAAGGTGGCCACCCCTGTGCTCTCAGAGCCACTCAGTCTGCCTCAGCGGCACACAGTTTCCTTGCTTCTTGTCCTGTCTTCTAGTCTTCAGTGTTCCTTCCGCTTGCCCAATGAATTTTGAATTGCAGAGACTCCTCCACTGTGGGCTACTGCAAATGCAGCTCTGTGAGTGTCCAGTCCCAACATGGTTGCATTAAGACGGAGACATATTGGGTGACAGAGAAAGGAGAGAAAGGGAAGGAATCATAAGGTGACGTGGATATGGTCAAGACCAGCCTCCCCATGAGGCGACTCTTAGCATTTTCATTTTCCATCTGAGAAGAACTCAGCCTCTGGTTGGTGTTCAGGTGACATGGGAGGACCAATGGAAAAGGGGCTGACACCAGGAGCTCCTTCTCTGGCCCTGGCAGGCCATCTGAGGACAGTGGATCCATCCTTGGCCCTGACCGGATATCCTCTTCCATTGCAGAGTGATCATCACCATGCTGGTAGCCACTGCTGTCTGCTGTTACCTCTTGTAAGTACCTCTCTCCCCAGCTCAAAATCAGCCAGTGCCTTTCTCCTCCCCTCCCCCAACCCTCCCCTCTGTCTCTGTAGTGAAAGGCTGGATCTGTAACATACAGGAAAGGAGGTGGTTTGGAATGGCAAGGAGAGCAATAGGCTGGACTTCATGAACTCCGGTTCTGGGTCTAAATGTGTCCCCTGGACAAGCTTTGTAATGTCCACAGGCTGCAGCTTTCTCATGTGTGAAATGAGTGAGTTGGGCCAGCTCAGTGCTTTTCACGTCCAAGTTGGCATCAGAATCACCTGGAGAAACTGTGAAATATGGCTCTGAGGGCTTCACTGAGATCCACTAAATCTCAGTGCTCAAGGTCTGCACTCTGGAATCCGAATTTATAATGCCACCATATGCAGTCTCCAAACTTGGAAAGGGGGCCCTGGGTACACAGAAGAGCATTCTGAGGGATGTGAGAACCTGGACAGTTCAAGGGAATCAATTTCCAGGTCCTCAGCACCTAGATGGTCTATTTCTAAAACCGCTATTCATGATAGCCCCTTCCCTACCCATCCATCCATCTCCAGTCCTTTAATGTTTCTTTGCTTCATGTTTAAATCATCCTGGCTTCCCGAGTGAGGAGTAAGTCCACGTTCTGGTGTTAGGGAGGCCTGTTTCATTGTCAGTCAAGCCCATGTGAGGCCTCTGTGGCTTCCCACCTTCCCGGGTCTCATACACTATTTTTGGGGTTAAGACTGGTGTGGTTGGGTGTTCAGGGTAGGACAGGTAAATGCTGATTCTTTAAAAAGTAACTGGTTAAAACCTGTTTTGTCTAATGAGCTAGTTATTCCTATTAGTCAATTCTAATTTCACTTTATATAATTTTTAATATTTCTACTTCCTATTAACAAAAAAAAGAAATAAAAGTTGTTAAAAAATAATGCTGACTTTTAGAGGTTAGTTTAAATATATGAGGCAATAAATAAATAAATACATGAGGCATATGATTTTCCAGAATTCTCCCTGGACACGGCATCTCTAAGTCCCTTTCTCTGTGCCGTTTCTTGGTCTTTTAGGGCCGGACAGATGTCCTCGTCTCTCCTAGGGAGGGCCTGTGAGTGCTGAGGTTTGAAGGCTCAGAGACCAGGACAGAGGATAGTGCCTGGGCACGTGGGAGACAGAACATAGACAGGGTGTGGGTAATTGCAAACACCAAAACAGCATAGGGGAAGGTAACCTGGGCTGCAGATCAGGTGCACATGGGCGGAAAGGTGGGGCAACTTAAGCAAATGACATGCTTAGAAATTCTATTTACAAAACATAAACTTGGGGTAATGCCAATGATAAGTGGGCACCCATTTCTGAAAGGCAGGTGACTGGCTGCCGTGGGGATTCAGAAGTGAAAGAGCTGGATCCTTCCTGCAAAACCAGACCAAGCCCCATTGGTACCAGCATTGGAGGCATGTGAAGTGGTGCACCTCCAGGATCTTTGGGACAAACGACGTCATGATGATGGGGCCTGACACCCTCGACCCCATCTGTGCCACCTGTGGTTGCGGGAAAGCTCACTGGCCTGAGGGACAGGCCCTGTCCCATCCCCAGCAGGTTTGGGAGTGGGGCATTCTGGTCATCACTTCCTCATGTTGTTCTTAAAAGGGGGTAATTCTGACATGCCTCCCATCAGAACAGCCCTGTCCTGCCCCCAGGTGCAGACTGGAGTGGCCCACACCAGGGATGGATTAGGGTACATCTGGCAATCACTCCCAAAGTGCCCAGGAGGCTGTCTTACCTCAACCCAGAGTCCAGCCTCAACTCAGAGACCTAATAAATCTACAGAACATCAAGTCAAACCGAATCTAAACCAAAATCCACGAACCCCAGACCCAGCCCCCCTGCCGGCTGGAGAGTGGGTGGCTCTGTGGGCCCCTTACAGACCCTGCAGCTGGTGATTGGGTGGGTCATGTGACCACAAGCCTCGTAGGAGACGTTCCTGGGAGGTTCTTGCTGTGCCCCAGCTCACCCTCCATGTGCTGTCCCTGGCAGCTGGCTCATCGCCATCCTGGCCCAGCTGAACCCGCTGTTCGGGCCACAGCTGAAGAACGAGACCATCTGGTATGTGCGCTTCCTGTGGGAGTGACCGCCGCTGCGTCAGCCCAGGTACTGGGGCTCGGGCAGTGGTTAGGGGGCACCGGGCGTGGAGGACGAGAACAGGCAGGACCGTTTGAAGAGTTTACGTTTGGATTCAGATGTTCATTTATCAGACAAAAAAAAAAAAGTGGTGAGCACCTACTCTTTGCCTGCCTGGCACTGTGCTGGGCACCAGATGGATGTCAAACCACAGTCCTGAGGTGCTTCCTCAGAGGGCCCAGAGGGCATGGCCAGGGATACAGAGCCTGTCCCGAGAGAGGAAGGCCTGGGGCCCAGGAGCATTGAGGCAATAACTGGCCAGAGGAAGTAGGGATAAGCTGAGTGACCGGGGCAGAGGCAGGGAGGGGTGGTAGAGAGGGGGTCTCCACAGCGAAGAGGTGACCCTTTCATGTGATGTGCTTTTCAGGTACCCCGGCTCTCTGGATGACCTTGGCTCAGCTCTCCCTGAAGGCCCCTTTGTTCCACCCCCACAGCTGTGTCGTGATCCCTCTGGGTTGAAGTAATGGAAAAATCATTGACACCCAAAACACCAGAGTAGTTTGGGTCCAGATTGAAACTTGTATGTTTAGCATTCTTTATAGTTGTAAAGTCACTTAAGTGGACCGCTCAGAAAGTTGTACCTCCGCAGAATATCTTGTTCCGCTCTCCCCCTGTGCCTGGCCCCCACGCTGTGCATAAGCGCCTCTCCTTCCCAGGAGGCTCAGAAACGAGGCAGCTCCTGCCCCCAGATTGGACTCCACTCATTCGGATGCAGTGAGGGCAGATTTCAGAGCCCCTCACAGCAGCCTCTAGGTCACCCGAGCTGCAGAGGGGGAAGAGAGACAGGTGAAGGCAAAGTTTGGGCAGCGCTGTGGACTTCGGAGGTCAGGCTGGGATGGTGAGGGAGGGAAGGGCATCAGCCCTGACTGGCTGAGCAGGCAACAGACCAGTGAGGTCCTGGGACACCTGCCCATGCCCTCACTCTCAGGATAGCTGAGGCCGAGATCTCAGACATTTGCCCTCAGCTTCAGAGCCAATCAGGGTCTCCTCTCTGCCAAATGACCTCCCTGGAGAAAGAAGCCAATTTCATGTATTTATTGACTATTTATTTGATTGGCCTTCCTCCCAATAGTGGGCATTGTTTTTGGACCTGCGGTAGGGGGTGAGGTGTCTCACCTGGATTTCTTGGTCTGGGCTTGGCCTGTTGCTCAGAACTCATGCTGCTCCCCGCTCCCCCCCTCCCCCCGACATCCTACAGGCCCCTTTCAGACTCCCTTTCTGTCCTGACCCCAGTGGTCCTCCTATAGTGGGGGTATTGTGTGTGGGTTGTACAGAAAATCCGATCTGTATCTAGTGACTCACAAGTGATGGATGAGAAATCATTGTTTGGTGGCATAGTCCTGGCTGAGGCCAAGTTTGCTGGCCACCCTTTCCCTGCCCACCTGATTTCCATGTCCTCAGAGGTGGGGGTAAGGTTGGGGACAAGAAAGAGGGCTCGGAGCTGCAGCTCTGGGATGTGGACACGGAGCTACATTTTCCTGAGACCTGAAGGAAAGTGCAGCTGGTCTGGATTCTGCCAGAACCAGGCCTGGCAGGAGGAAAATGTGGAAGACTTGCTCACGTGGAATTTTGACCACCACTCATCTGTGCCCCTGAATGCCGAGGGAACAGTTCTCGGGCTGCTCAATAAAGCAGGTTCTCAACCTTTCTGGAGTGTAGCCTGCTCATTTCAAAATACCTTAGGGACCAAATATGCCTGCTGTGCACCTATCCTGGGTGAGAATGTCCTGCATGGGGCAAGACATCAGCAAGCAGAAGAAACTAGCACTTCAAGACAGCTAAGAGCCAGCAAATGAAATTTAGGGTGGGGAGGTGCATAGAGAAGGGACCAGACCGTGAGGGCCTGACCATAGCTGAGGAGCTTGGGTGGACCCAAAGGGCAATGAAAGGCCACAGAGAAAGCCAAGGCGGGTTATGACCCAATTTGATTTCTGGGATAATCTCTACAATGGACAGGAGCCTGGTGATAGGGGCCCAGGTGAGCAGTGGTAAGGACGGGTGGGCAGACTGAGGGTCTACTTAGTAGCTGAGATGACCAGCGTGTTGGCGGTGGGAGAGGAGGAAGCCAGGATGGATCCTGCCTGCTCTGGATGCTGGACTCTGGAGAAGACAGGCTGTGAGGTAAGACACACAGATGGCCAGCAGGGGGCAGCACCCAAACGCAGGAGGGAAGCCTCCAGAGACCAGTTCATACCTGGCCACCCAGAGGAGCATGATTTTACAGGGTCTGGGGCTTTAGTAACCTGTTAGCAGGGAGCAGGGACAGTTCTCATGATGATTCCACAGCCTGGGTGAAATTTCCTTCAAGCGTATTTTATAAGCACAACTGATGCCTACCAGGTGCCAGCCACTGCTTGGGGAAAACAAAGGGCAAAGAGCTAAGGTGCCTTACTAACTTGATGCTCTGATGCCAGGCTCCCCAACCATCCTGTCTGGCCTTTCCTACCTCAACATCCTGGTAGATCTGACAAGTTCCAACCGGTCCTAGGGACACCCAGCAGCCCTGATTCTCAATTGGGAGGGGAGGTACATGCAGATGACTGCATGCCACAGCATCACAGCCCTGAGGAAGCCCCTAAAGCAAGGCCCCTTGATAAACTGTAGTTGCTTTGAACAGAAATAGAATCATTCATTCATAACAATGGAAATGTGAGTGTGTGTGTATGTGAAATCCATGAGGGTGGTTATGGTTGCTCCTCAATCGCCTGGAAGTGACCTTTGTTTATAATTTTGGAGTTTCCAAGAACAAAGTCAGTTGTCAACCACCATCAGAAGAGAGGAAAACTGATGTGACCACACTGCGTATTAACAAATCTGCATAAGGATCACTTAGAACAAAACAAACCCATAGTATACTGGACCAGATATATTACAACAGAATCTCCAGGGATAGAGCAAGACTCCCAGACTTTTAATAAGTGCTTCTGATGGTTACCAGGCTGGCACAGTTCCAGGGATCAGAGTTTTGGAATCAGGCAGTGACATTTCTCAGGGTGGAAATTGCCCTGAGATTAAGATTATGGTCCACTTATACGAGAATTATATGGATTGTTTGAAAATGCAGATTCCCGGGCCCGCTCCAGATCCTACTGGATTAGAGTTGGGACTCAAGTTTCCCAAGAGTTCTCATGCTACTGAAACCCTCTAGACAGAGTCTCCCAGCTTTGGGCTGGATAATTCTGTGAATTGTAGGATGCTTAGTAGCACCCTGACCTCTACTCATCAAATGCCAATAAAGCCCCTCTTCCTGCTCCAAGTTGTGACAACCATATAGTTTTCCAGCCATTTAAAAATATTCCCTGGGGGGCCAGAATCCCCCCCCCCCCAATATGGGGAGCCACTGCCCTAGATTTGGCCCCTCAAGTGATTGATAAAAATGTAATTAGTTTATCGACCAAGAGCCATTAAAAAAGAGGTTGAGAAGCCTTGATGGACGCTGGTATCCCAAGAGCCAGGGTGCCCCATGAGCCTTCCCCAACAGGCCTGGAGCTTCCGACTTGGTCCACGCCCTGGGGAGACGGGAGCACCCAAGCTTTAGGGGATGATTAGGTGTCTGAACAGACTAATTCCCAAACCATGTGGTCCAGGGATAAGCTGGAGGCTCATTGGAGGCCAGGTGAGGGAGGGAGCTCTGGCGTCATGCCTTGCCCTGAGCTCCCCCTGCAGGCATCTTCCCTGAAAAAGGGTGGTGGGCATGGTTGGGATGGATATTTCCAGAATCCCCAGCTCAGCTCCCTAACCTCAGAATCAAGGGCCATGATGGCAGCACAGCTTTTCCTCCCTAATGACAAAGACCCGGGAGACACGGGGATGGTGGTTTTCTTTACCTGCCCATTCTGTGTCTCCGCAGCCGGGGTGCCAGACCAGATGGCTCACTGCAGAGGCTGCAACCTTGATCGGTTGTGATACCAACTGCAACAGCCGTGCTCCTGGTTCACAGGAACTGATTCGGCAAATGTGTATATTATAGCATGTCTCTTCAGTCTTTCTGCCCAGCCTCCGGATCTGGGGCTGTTTACCTTGCCTGAACAGCTCAGCTCAGCTTTAAGGTTGAGAGTTTAGAACTGAGGACTAGGTCCGCCTGGGTTCAAATCCTAGCTCCACTGATTATAGTTGAGTGAAAGTTTCTTAATCTTTCTAAGCTTCAATATGCAATCTGGGCATATACCCTTGACCAAAATGGAATTGGGGACGCTTCAGCCCACAGGCCTACTCTCTATCCACTAAGCCATACCAGTTAGGGCTGATATGCCTTTTTATTTGTTCAGGTATTTTTTTTTTTGTATGTGTAGCATTAATGATGTTTAAACTTTCTTGTTTTTTTTTTATGTTGATATTGTACATTTCTTAAGCTTTTCCCATAATGTTTAATATTTTTTATTGCTAGTAAAATGTAATCTTCCCTTCCTTTCTATTTCTAAATGGTTGTTTGCATATATGGAATATTTTTTTTGAGATGAAAATATTCCTTTTTATAATTTAAGTAGTTTTTTTTTTAAATTAAGGTACGTATCTTTACATTGCCCCCCCACCATACATGCCCTCCCCCCCAAGATTTTGCTTTCTAAATATTAAACCCAGATACCTTACTGAATTCTCATATCTTTTATAATGTCTCCTAGTCTTGCAATTAAATCACCCCTGGTTCTAGAGTGCCTCTGGATTAACACTGCAGAGACCAGCTCTGAGACTATTATATCCGTATCAATACAACTTTAAAATAATTTGTGGCTCCTTCCATCTCCTACTTTAACATGCTGTGCGACTAAATCTGTGTCCTTATCTGTATAACAGAGAAATCAATACCTCCATCTCTGAGGCATTGGACAGAATCAAATAAGATTTAAGATAGCTTTGATAAAGTGTCAGGATGAATACTTTTGTTGCAGGGGTCCTAGTTTGAGCTCAAGCTGAAGAATTGGACATGGAGTCGATTTGCCTGAGATCAGAGGAGAGCTGCAGGGAGACAGAACAAACCTACCCCCCCTCCCCCCCAAGACTGCCCTGAGACCCACGGTGTCCTAGCCGCAGCCCCTGAAGTTGTCTGACTTCGCAGGCGGAAAGAAGTTTTGCATGGCCGTGAGACAAGAGTTGGATACTTATTTTTTAAAATTAATTTATTTGATTGATTATGGTCTCATATAATTGTCCTTATCCCCCCTTTCCCATCCAAAACCCGTCCCTAAATATGCCCCCACCCCCCTGTTGTCCATGGCCACTGGCTAGGCCCATATGCATGCACATAAGTCCTTTTGTTGATCTCTTTCCCTTACCCCCACCCTCCCCTATTTTCCCTCTGAGGTTTGAGAGTCTGATGGCTGCTTCTCTTTCTCTGGATCTGTTTTTGTTCATCAGTGAGTTGGGCACTTCTGTGCCCAGGTGGGACCGACGTGGGAGAGAGCAGCACTCTCTGCCCAGCCAAAGGGGCCGCTGGATGGTTCCTAGTGGGGAGGTGCCGGATGAGCTTCCAGGGCGTCACCGCTCAGCGGGAACTTGTCCCCGGAGACACTCTGGGAGGGTTGGCTGAGAGGCTGGCTGAGCCCTCGGGCTCGGAAGAAACCCCACGTGTGGGTCACTTCTGCCTGCGCGTGCGCAGAGCCAGGTCCGCACTCGGGCGGAAGGGGCCGTGGGGGTCGGTTAGTGAGGAGGAAGACTCGGTCTCCATCCGCCAGGAATGCTCTGACTGCGTCCTTCAGGGGCACAACAATAACTAGCGGAGGTGAACGAGTTGGGAGGAACCTGGGTAACCGTGAGAGCAGGGCATGACTTCCGGCGAGGAGGCGGTGCACCCTCTCCGCTTCCGGCCGCGGGGTCGCCCGCGCCTGCGCACTACGTGCTGGCCGTCCGCAGGGAAAACGTACCCACCGCGGGCTGGGGAGGGAGCGGGCCATCGCTCCCGGAAGTAGCCCCTCGCGCGTCCCGGAAGTCTAAGTCTCCTTATGCTCTGCCGGGCCCTTCCGGTGGTTTCTGCGGCTGCCCGGGTGGTGGGCGAGGGGGGCGGCTCCTCGCTACTGGCGGCCGCTGAAGCTGCGCCCGGCCTCCCAGCTTCACCAGCCTGGTCTTTGCGGGCGGCTGGCCAAGTCCCGAGCCCCTGGCCCTAGGTAAGCCGGGGTTAGGGCGTTGTGGTCCCCCCTCAACGAAGTGGACGCTGAGGCGGGGGAGGGGCAGAGGCAGCTTGCCCCCCTCCTAGGCCGGCCTGGGCCTCTCCTGCCCGGTGCCCAAAACACGCCAGGGGAAGCCAGAGTGTACTGCACAGCGGCCCGTGTCCGTCATTCACGCTGCTGTGTACGTTTACCCAGTCCCTAACAAGCATCTTTCCTTTTCCCTACCATCATCAGTGGGGCAGGGCACATGCACGCCTGGTTTCAGTATCTGGTTCTGTGCTCCCAGTAGTGAGGAAGCCTGCAGATGGCTTCTGGAGGCCCAGTGCCCGCTCTAGTCTCCCGCTCTTCACTGACCATCACGTTACCACTCTGGGTTTCTGTTTCTTCAATCATAAAAGAAGAACTGAGGTAAGCCCCCTCCGGTTCTGACATCCTCGAGGACTTTTTCTGGGACTAGGATAGTGTCTTGCATCTCATTCGCACCGTTATTTAGCCCCTCCACAGTGTCCACCTCCAGGGGGATTCAGTCATGTGATGTGGCGGTGACTGAGTTCTTGCATGATGGGCATGAGGCCATTGCCTCTTACTCCTTCTGAGCCTCTTCCTGCTGGAAGGAGCCTCTCAGTATGGCATTGCCCACACTCCTCCCTGGGCTGAGTCTCACATGAGCCTCTTCAGTGGGCTTGTCACCTGCAGAGGCAACCCTGCCATCCCTGGTGCCCTCACCATCACAGTCTGCTGTGGCTCACCTCTGTCTGAGAATGCCCCTGAGGCCAGTGTGGTGTCTGAACAGTGTTGGTCATCCTCACCTTGAAAGTTACGATTTCTCCCTCTGGCTGCTCAGCCATATCCTCATTCAGCCTCATAAAGGTTGATGTTCTGACTTCTGCCCTTGACCTTTCCAGTCTATACCACATGAATAGTGACCACTTTCACCTTTAATGTGTGTCTGGGGAGAATCGGGGAGGATATGGAAATTCCTGCAGAGGCCTAGAGATAATGGAAGAGGTCTGTGTCCCAAAAAGCCTGGCCTGCTGTGCCACACGTTCTCACCAGGCACCTGTGTAGGTCATGCCTTCAGCTTGAGCATCAAATGTCTCAGTGCCACAGGCTCATCTCAAACAAGGTCTTGCCCCCTAGACTGTTGAATCTTCTGTGTCCCGAGTGTTTGAGAAGGAAGTCCCTGCATCCAGTCACCTGACCAGATCCATGCATGTTTTTTTTACTGTGCTAGACCCTCGTCCCTCTGCATCGCTCCACTGCTCTCAGTGAGGTCCTGTCTCACTAGTGCGTTTATGGCAGGCTCTGGGCCAGAGCAGTTTTAATCAGAGGCACAAGGGACTACCCCGCTGCCTGCTGACAAAACCCAGCAGATCCTCTACACTTTGTGTAGGGTGAATCTGACTTCTTAGTAGATGCCTTCAGTCACTTTTGGAAAGAAATGAGGTCAAAATGAGAACTTCCTGGGGAGTTGCAGACCAGACGAAAGCTAGATAGAGGAGCAGAGTCCCTCTTCTCAGGGGACTGGGAGGGTAAGCGCTGTTAGTAGCCTTCCCAGCTACCTGGCAGAGGTATGGAAGGAGCTCTGAGCCTTGTTTCCTTGGAGAGGGGGAAATATAAAGTGGCCTGGATGATGGAAATGCAGACTTGGGACTGCCGACACTCTGCGGAGGCCCAGGTTTTGTCAGCAGGAGTGAATGGTTCCATAGTTCTTTGCAGGCATCACCCTGCATAGCCTGGGCCTGACCAAAGTCTGCAGAGTTGGGAGACTGCCATTTGGAGCAGAGGCCCCTTCTTGTTTTCTCTGCCGGAACCTTGACCCCTCTGTGGGCGGCCGGATCCTCCCCACGGCCTCCTCCCTCATGTTGTTCTTTTCTGGCACCTGGGCTGCTGCTGTCCCTCAGCCACTGAGGACCTGAAATGCCCCTGCCCTGCCTTTCTGGAGCCAACTTTGGTGCCACCCTGCCCCTCCCTCCAGGATGGTCCCCACCTCTCCAGCCCCCTTGCTTTCTTTGGAAATGACGTCATGTTTGCAGCTGGAACAGTGATGGATGCTGTTCTGTGGACACCAGAGTAAAAAACTAGTTTGGGCGTGTGGGTGAGTGTATTTGGAGAGCAGTGGCGGGGAGTGGAGGAGGGAAAGTGGAGGTCTGGCAGGGTTGCCTCTCATCCCAGGCTTACCATCCCTTTCTTCCTCCTACCTTAGTTTTGTGTCTGGGACAGAAGGCTGGTCCTCTGAAGGACCAAAGGTTACAAATTGGCCCTCATAATCTAGAAACCATTTTGAATTTACATTTTAAAAAGGTGCATCAGGAACATTTTTAAAATCATTTTTCTTTTAATTCTTTATTGTTGAAAGTATTATATAAGTCCCTCTTCTCCCCCCCCCCCCCTATTGAGTCCCTCCAGTCTGCCTTCTACCCCCAAGCCCTCACCGCCTCTTGTGTCCGTGGGTCATGCATATAGGCATACAAGGTCCTTGGTTGATTACCTCCCACCCACCTGCCCTCCCCCTCCTTCCCTCCAAGATTCTGCACTCTGACATCAGGAACATTTTTTGAGTGAATAAAGCCAGGCCCAGGTGCTCCTGTCTATGTTCACAAATGCAAGGCTCTCCTGGGGAGGGAACAAAGGAGACTGGTGATGGTGGTGACCATTATCTATTAAAAAAGAATATACTTAAATGGGTAAAAAGAATCATCTCAAAACTAATAACGAGAGATCATGAGTGGTTATGGGAAAAATAACATTATGAGATTTTGCTATCCGGTGCAGATTTGGAAAAGGGGGAGAATTGGTAACACTGGGCCTGCATGCCGTCCAGCATGGCTCAGGGCTTCTCAGTAAGGTCTGGGCCTGGCCCACCTCCCTCAGGGGGGCCGGTGGTACTCCGGCGTCTTGGTCTTGTTGGGTCACCTGGGTTTCTGGCCCTGGTAGCAGAGGGTGGGTGGCACTTGATGCTGTCACCTGCTCCAGGGTCACAGGGGTGTTTAGGAGAGTTCTGCTTACTGTTTATCTTTCCTTAGTGAACAGCCAGCTGACCCCCAGATTGTCAAGGCCTAGACCCCCTGGACTGACTTGGACTCATGGAGCCTCAGGGTGAGAAGTCAGGAGAGGCCGAAGGGGTGCGCATCACCTCCCAGATGCTCAAGTCTTGCTCAGGCGAGTTTGCCCTGGAGTCTATCATGCTGCTGAAGCTACGGGGCTTGGGGCTGGTGGACCTCGGCTGCCTGGGCGAGTGCCTGGCTCTTGAGTGGCTGGACCTTTCTGGCAACGCGCTCACCCACCTGGGCCCCCTGGCCTCCTTGCGCCAGCTGGCAGTCCTCAATGTTGCCAACAATCGGCTGACAGGCCTGGAGCCACTGGCCGCCTGCGAGAACCTGCAGAGTCTCAATGTTGCAGGCAACCTGCTGGCCACCCCGAGCCAGCTGCAGTGTCTGGCGGGGCTCCGGGGCCTGGAGTACCTGCGGCTCCGGGACCCTTTGGCCCGGCTCAGCAACCCTCTCTGTGCCAGTCCCTCCTACTGGGCGGTGGTCCGAGAGCTGCTGCCAGGCCTGAAGGTCATAGATAGTGAGCGTGTGAGCGGGCGGGGCAGTGAGTTTTACCAGCTGTGTCGGGACCTGGACTGCTCCTTGCAGCCCAGCTCCAGCCCAGGCCCCTGCATCACGGAGGCCCAGCCCTGGGTGGAGCCAGGGTACTGGGAGTCCTGGCCACCCCGGAGCAGTTCCATCCTGGAGGAGGCCTGCCGGCAGTTCCAGGACACTGTGCAGGAGTGCAGAGACCTGGACCGCCAGGCCGGTGACTGCCTGGCCCGGGCTGAGCAGGTACTCAGTCCTGCGGGTACCGCCTCATCCTTTGTCTTCTAAGTGTGCCCCATGACCCTGGACAGCGTGGCACAAGGCCGTGGGGTTGGCACAGTGTGCCCTAGCCGCCCACATCTCCCCTCCTGCCTCTGCACTTGTCTTCACTGTTTCATCACGCTGGCCACTGTCCCTGCAAACTGGGCTATTCATTTTTCCCTGTTCCTGAGAGCAGACCCCCTCCTTCCCACTCCTACCTCAAGAAAATCTCCATGTTCTTCGGGGAGGTACTTCCCCAGTGCTTCAAGCAGGTGGAAGGACCCTCCGTTAGCAGCTGGCATCGTGCGGCTGTCCTGCCACCTCTGCCATACGCCTGGGGAGGAGGCTGCAGGCCCCTGTCTGCCACTCCTGGCTGCTCAGGCCTTACACTGGTGGAAGAAAGCTGTTGCTTTAAAGGTTAAAGGTGGCAAAGGAAGGGATGGAGTGCCCCCATCCCACTGGTCCTGGAAATAGATATGAGCATGGAAGCTGGTATTTACCCCTTCCCAGATTTGCATGACCCTCTGCCCTGCCCCACCAGTCCTGTGTCTCCAGGCAGCCTCCACTGCCCATTCTAAACCCTATTAAATATTTCTGTTTTAATTCTGTTGCTTCAGTGCCTGTCATTTCACTTGGGCATGAGTTCCTGAAAGATGATCCCTGGACTCCTGTGGGGAGGAGGAGCACACACAAGCCCCTCCCCCATTCTGGGTGTCCTGCCTCTCACTCACCACCCCTACCACTCAGCTGAGGGGAGAGGAGTGCACAAAGCAAGTGGAGGAGAGAACACAGCTGTGAGGACATTTTTATTGATTTGGGGTTCATCAGATGTTCTTCCCTGGGCACAGGGGAGTGCTGACTCACTTGTTACATTCCACAGCTGTCCAGAAAACAAGACTGGATTCTACAGGAAAGCAAAACAACATCTGGGTTTGTGGAAGGCTCTTTTGGTGCTGGTCCCAGCTTAAGGAGTTCCTTCCTTCCTTCCTCCTGCAGCCCAGCACCAGCACCAGCCCTCTCTTCCACCCAACCTCCACCCAGGGTGTCCCTGCTCCACTGTCCTCCCACCCTCCTGGCTGCCTACCAGTCAGGGCCTCAGCCGGAGGCAGGATGTTGGAGAAAGGCAAATTGTCCCGGGAAGTAGTATCTTCCTTCGCGCCCCTGCTCAATCCTGCTGCACTGGGCCTCCTGTTGCTCCGTGGGTCCCTGCCAGGGCCAGCATTGCTCAGGCCCGGGAGCAGTGACCAGCAGGGCTGTCTGCCTCTGTCCAGTCTACCTTTACAGCCCCTAAGGTATACCCCCTCATCCTTCTTCCCCCTTCCCCATTCTTCTTGACGTTCCTCACCTTTCTTCTCTTCTCATCCTCGCTCCTCTTCATCCTTCTCATCCCTCCTCACTCCGCTCCACCCCTCCACTCCCTGTCCTGACTCCATCCAGACTTCTGCCTCTCAACCTCCCCCACAGGCCCAGCCACCCCAACCTCTCTGCTTCTTCCTCTGCCCACTCTTACCTGTCGAGACTGCATCTCTGTGGGGCAGTGGACCATCCGCTCCAGGACTTTAAACTCAGGGCTCAGCTTGATGCAGGCCAGGCATTTCCGCTTCCTCTGGGGAGAGGGGCAAGGGGCAAGGAGGAGAAAGGGGTGAGGGAAGGCCTGTGGCCTCATGAGGGTGGAGGCCGGGGGCTGCCTGCAGTGGGGTTCTTTCCCCCGCAGGCCCTAGAGCAAAGGGGCAAGAGTCACGCAGACTAGCTGGTTTCAGGCGCAGTCCACCCTTGGGTTGGAAATGTCAGAAGTCAAACCATCTTGCAATTTTCAAAACTACGGGACTTTGGTGGATGTAGGCAGGAATCCTCCCCAAGTGACTTTCGCCAGACCCACTCTCTTGCCATCTATTTATTTGGATTTTCTTGTAAGGTTTTATTTGAAGACAAGGATTCTGGCACAGATGCCTGGTATAACCTGGCCCCTCCTTTACCAGATGGTGGAGCTGAGGCCTTCAGTTCAGAGTTGCAAAGCCACAGGGTTGGTGCTTGGCAGAGCTCAGTCTAGAAGCGGGATGCTTGCATTCCCAGCCCAGGGATTTCCCAATAGCAGGTTTTGCCCCCAAGATGGTTGATTACAGTCAAACCCTGTTATGGATCAGACTCAGCTGGGCCGTCTCAGCTTGAAGATTCACAGAAGACAGAATTCACCAGCTCTGGGGCCAGACCAACCCACACCCTGGGCTTCTGCCAGTAATCTGAAGCTGGGGAGAGGAACTCGGATGAAATCGCCCTCCATGCCAGTCTCCCTCTCCCTCCTGCTTCCTCAGGCCCAGGCCACCCCAGTGTCACAGCCACAGCCTCCACAGAGGGGTCACCAACCTCAGGCTTCAAGCTGGACCTCCAACTAAACCCAACTACATACACCTGCACCCGAGCAAGTGCCCCGTCACACACGTGTGCACACACGTGTGCACATCTCCACTCACCCCATTGGGCTTGACCTTGCACTCAGTTCTCTTCCAGTCCTTCTTCCCGCAGCCTGTCTGCTGGAGCGTAAATTCCAGCCTCACAAAGGTCCCCGCTGGGGTGGGCTGCCGACAGACAGACAGACAGACAGACAGAGGAAGGCCAGCAGCCAGTTGAGCAGGCAGAGCAATTCCTGGAATGTGACCCGTCCCTTCTCCCCACAGTGAAACAGCACAACCCACCCAGCTGGTGGCTGGCATAGTGGCCTTTCTCCAGGGAGCTGGGTGCTCACAGAACCCAAGCACTTTAGCATCTGGGTCTTTTGGGGTGAGGCCCTAACCCCCTTCCTCCCAGGGGTCGTGCTGCTAACCTTGTCCATGGCAATGTCCACACTGGTCTTCTGGAAGGCCCACTGCACACGCGGGTGCTTATGGAAGTCCTCCAGGGCCACCTGCAGGCCCTGCTGCTGGGCTGCTGTGAGCTCAGCCCTGCCCAAGCTCACTGTGCCCAGCCACAGGGCCAGCAGCATCAGCAGCTGCCACATGGCTTCGCCTCAGTCACCTGGTCCTGCAAAGGGCATGCTCTCAGCTCCTCATACCAGCCAGAGAGCCACCACCCCCTGGCCCTGCATGGGGGGTCACGGAGGGGGGCATGCCTCACAGAGGGCAAAGGTAGAGGGACAGGACAGGATGTGGCCCTTTGCCTGGATTACCCTGGTATTCCCCTGCCTTGCCTGCCACTGTTCCCTGGATCCAGCTCAGCCTGGGTTTGGCCCTGCCCTGGGTAGATGCTGAGTAGGCTTTTGTCCTAGGCCAACAGCCAGGGAAATACTCCTGTTGCTCCTCCCTTCCTCCCTCCCTTCTTTCCCCCTTCCTTCCCCCCTTTTCTGTCCAGTTCTCTGTTCCCACTGCCCTAGTTGCCCCTAGAGCCCCTCAGCTTTCTCTCTCCACCCTGGCTCTACTGGCTCCCAGGTCCCAGCCTCCGCGCCCCCCCCCCCCCCCCCCACTAGTATAACTGCAGGGGAAAAGGGCTCAGAAAGGAGGCTGAATATTTCTGGAAGGATGTAAACACTTGGAGAGCCAAAACCAGGGTGGGACCCAGGAGGATGCTCACTCCTCCCTGCACTGGGGCTGTCGGTGGCCGTGGGCCCTGCCCCTAAGCCGAGTAGGGGGTCTGGCCTGGGCCCCTCCCTTGGCTTTCTTCAGACAGACCCTCCCTGGTCTTTTTTCTGAGCCTTCCACATCACCCCTCCCTCAGCCTCAGCGTGTTCCTTAAAGCAAGGGCTCCGGACAAGTTGACAAGCTTGGCCCTTGGAGGATTCCCTCTTCCTGCTGCCCCTCTCCTCTCCACCCCTCTCTCGCACCCTCCTTCATCAGCTGCCCCAGCCCGCTCTCCCTCCTTACCTCCTTTTTGGTGCTTGGCGGAGTCTGTTCTAACTTGCCGCCGAGGTGACTTGGAGCTGTCAGCCTTTTCCCAGAACCCTTGGCCCGCCTCTCGCCCTCCCTCCCTCCATCTCCTCCCCCTCCCACCTACGGGGCTTCCTGCAGTCCCCAGCTCCGCCCACTCCGTTAGGACTGGCCTCCGGGGCAGTACCCCCGCCGGGGCCTCTCCTTCTGTCCCACCCTTCCGCTGCCCTTCCTCCGTGATCCTGACCCGGCCGCTCACCCAGGCGGGGCGGGGCGGGGAGCAGGGTGCCAGGGAGCCTGGGAAGGAGTGAGGTGAGGCCCAGGAGCTCAAGCGCTAGAAGGCCTTGGCACGGAGGACTCTCCTCCCTCTTCTCCTCAGGGTATGGGACTGCTCTGCCCCCCACCCTGCCTCCAGGTAGGGCTGCCCTTTTCTTAGGCCCCTTTGAATGACACTCATTTCAGGACATTCTCCCCAGAAATACAGACACCCTCAAACCAGATGAGGCCCTGAGGAATCAGAAGTCATTCAATCCCACCCCCCACCCCCCCCCATGCTCTAAAGCAGTGTTTCCCAAACTTCTCTCATGATGAGAATTACCTGGTGGAGTTGTTAAAATACAGATTCCTGAATCCCAACTAAGAAGTGCTAAACTAGAATTTTTGGGAACATATAGGTAAAATTGTAAACTTAGTTGGGATTCAGGAATCTGTATTTTAACAACTCCACCAGGTGATTCTCATCATGAGAGAAGTTTGGGAAACACTGCTCTAAAGCATACACACACACACACACACACACACTCAAACACACACATATACACACACATACTAGAGGCCTGGTGCACAAAATTCATGCACAGGTAGGATCCCTAGCGGCTGCCATCTGGGGCCTTCCTTCATTTCGCACTGCCCCCTGGTGGTCAGCACATGTCATAGTAAGTGGTCAAACTGCTGATTGGTTGAACTCCCAAGGGGACACTTTACATATCAGCTACATTTCTGTAGCTGAAGCCACTCAGAGTGTGATCCTTTGTACTGGCAGCCCTGACAGACGTCCACACACACAGAGGAGATCCTCTCTGAAGACCTGGTGCTATGAAAAGCCAAGTTTTTGTCTGTGTGACACACTGATCAGGTGCTTTATGAGCAAAACGAACATGGTTAAGATGACTAATATTAAGCCAAAATTTTTTTGCCTTATTGAGAATAAATGTTTAAATCCTATTATTTACCTTCAAAAAAGGTAACAAAATCAGGATGCCATTTTTGACATTTTAGTGTGGCAGAAACTGAAATTTGGATTTCAATAGGTGTGAGGCAGGATAGTAAGAAGCTAGGGAGGTTCCTAGAGAAGTGGAATAAGGGAAACCGAGACAAAATAATTAAATAATAACGTGAAACCCCCAAAATAATTAAATAAGGCCAAACTACGGTATTTGAGCAATTTACAGTCAGCTAAGGAATCACAAGGTTTTCTATTCCCTAACCAAGGACACTTAGGAACAAATGATTTTTCCCATTCCAGACCATCCTGGGACATCAGGTCCTAGGTCCTGGTCCTTCTTCAATTGATGACATTCTTTAAAATTAAACTAACAGAAAATAACCCCTGATCCCTCTATATGGCCAATTATATATATATATATATATATATATATATATATATATATATATTTGATTTTTTACAGAGAGGAAGAGAGAGGGATAGAGAATTAGAAACATCGATGAGAGAGAATCATCCCATTTTTTTTTTTTTTAAGAAGTTGATTTTAGAGAGACGAAGGGGGAGAGAACATGGATCGGGAATTGAACTGGCCCCTTTTTGGAGAGCAGGATGATGTTCCAACCCACAGAGCCACACTGGCCAGGGCTCTGTACACACATTTTGATTAATTAACTTTTAATTAATTATTTATTTATTTTTTTAAAAAAAATATTGTATTGATTTTTTACAGAGAGAAAGGGAGAGAGATAGAGAGCTAGAAATGTCGATGAGAAACATCGACCAGCTGCCTCTTGCACATCCCTTACCGAGGATGTGCCCGCAACCAATGTACATGCCCTTGACCAGAATCGAACCCGGGACCTTTCAGTCCGCAGACTGACGCTCTACCGCTGAGCCAAACCGGTTTCGGCGATTAATTAACTTTTTAAAGGACATACCTGAAATGCTAATAAATATTCTGTTAAGATTCTCCCCTGAGACTTCCATTGGAATTCCATCCAGCCAAAAAATATAAAAAGCCTCAAGACAAAGGACTCACTGTTTGCGCTCACTAAAGCACACCCACACCTTGTATCTCTGCTGTTTTTCTCCTAAACTCTCAGGGATCCCAGGACATTTGCAACCAGGGGTACAGTGGGCAGTGGCAACTTGTCCTGGGCTTACCCCCGAACCTGTCTCTAAGGCCACTTTTTTCTCTGACTTCCCAGGGAGCTCATTTCTTTAACTGTGGCTTTTATTTGTTAAGAGCCAAAGCAGCTCAGCCTAGGCTCTCTCCCGTTGCTTTTTCTATCTTAAGCCCTTCCTTTGTTTCACTGTCCCCAGCTTTATAAACACACTCTCTACATCACCTGGACTCATGCTGGGAAATCTTGTCTACACAAAGTCAAGAACCCACACACTGACAGTGGGCCTGAGGCAGACTCACTCCAGGCCCAGACCCCGCCTGGTAACAGATGCACCTTAACAATAGCATAATGTAATATTTACATTTTAGAATTTGTGCTCTTTCAAGGAAATTCAGCAAACTAACCAAAGGCACTTTCAATTTATTAAATACATTTAAGAAGTCACTTTCATGAGTGAAAAATATTTTCCCAAATCAAAGTGATCAGGAGGCAAATAACTAAGCTGAAAGTCTCGCAGACCCCATGAGCTCCTCAAATCTCTCAGAGACCTACCACTAGAGGGAAACAGTGAGCAGGAGCTAGGTCCTTGAAACAGGAATTCCCCAAGGCTGTGAATTATTTTTCTTACATACTTGTGGTCACCTGTGAACATTTTTTGACTTCTGGCTTAACCCTAAGAACTTCTCTCTACTGCATCTGACTGGTAAGTCATGCCAACTTGTTGCAGCGGTTTTACACCTAAATGCATGCTTGTGAAAGCTGGGAACCAGCACAGGCTTGGATAATGAGCGGCACCTCTGCCAGTGGAAGAAGGCACTGAGGGCAGGGTTTTTGTTTTTTTAAAAAAATATATTTTATTGATTTTTTACAGAGAGGAAGAGAGAGGGATATAGAGTTAGATATATCAATGAGAAAGAAACATCCATCAGCTAGCGGCCAGGCCCGGGGGAGCAGCCGGGTCGGGTGCGGCCAGGCCCGGAGCAGCGGCAGCCAGGCTGGGAGCGGCCAGGCCCGGGGGAGCAGGCGGGTCGGGTGCGGCCAGGTCTGGAGCAGCGGCTGCCAGGCTGGGAGCGGCCAGGCCCGGAGCAGCAGCAGCCAAGTCCAGAGCAACTAGGTCGGGAGCGGCAGTGACCAGACTTGGAGCAGCTGGTTGTGGAACGAACCAGAGCAACAGAGGCCAGGCCCTAAGCAGCCAGGCCCAGAACAGCTCGCTCCTCGCCTGCCCCTGCCCCACGGCTGCCTCTCAGACATGGCTGGAAACTTTCGTGGGAACTTGAGGGTCTGCTGAATCAAGTGATGAAGGCTTAGATCTGGATGTGTTGAGTTAGTATAGCGCTGGGGTGTTGATCTGTGAGTGCCTTGGGTGGGGCCTGGATGAAGCTGGTGGACCTATTGGGAAATGTCTTTTGTGTGAAGTGTATCATTGGGCATGTGGAGGTATTATTGATATGAGAAAATGCTAAGTAACTGATTTACTATCTGAAAAGGGATTTACTATTGGTGAAAGGGAGGGAAGAAAAGACTGAACATAAACTGTGCACCTATGGATGAGGACAATGGGGGATGGGGAGGGGGTGGAGGGTGGAGTGGGAACCTGGTGGAGGGGGGAAGAAATGAGGAACCTTTGTAATAATATGAACAATAAAGATTGATTTTAAAAAAAAATTAAAAAAAAAAGAAACATCCATCAGCTGCCTCTTGCACACCCCCTACCGGGGATATGCCCACAAACAAGGTACATGCCCTTGACCGGAATCGAACCCGGGTCCCTTCAGTCCCCAAGCCG